ATAATTTTCAGCAAATGAAACTGCTGCGCCCTTGGTCATATAAGTAAGCATGAACGAAATCTTGAGTGACTCCACATTGTAAATGTGCTTGTTCAGTTTCAAGTAACCTTTGACCTGCATAACCCAGGTCTGAAGCCCATTGTGGCTTCTGTCGTATTCTCCAGGATGCCCAACATTAAACTCCCTTCCTCCATTGGGTGGGTGGCAATCGTACATGTCATCAGGGTTGGCTGGGGCCTTACCCTTACTGGTCCCTGCCAAGGGGGCCTCTGGGGGAATTACCTTTCCAAAGTTCCTCCAATACCAATCATGTAATGCCAAGTCCATAGGCATTCCTGTTGGAAAAGGATTGCTATTCTGGGCATGCATTGCTCTTCATAGCTCTTCTGCCATAGCGAGTTGTTGGTCTTCCAACCTTTGTCTCAGCTCCTCTTCTGAGAAGGTCCTTGTAGGCATCTCAGGAGCTGACTCTCCATGACCAATTGTCATGGACATTTTTGGTGAATTGCAAGCTTCTTGTTCTTCTTTGAGGACTGATCTGAAAGAAGTATCAGACTTCTGATCGTCTTCTTCTTCTGAACTAAGCATGACTTCCGAATCCCTAAATTGGGATAGGTACAATAACCAAGGATTGGTGGCAGTAACCAAAGGACCTAGTCATCCTGAGGGAATAGGGGGTAAAGGCAGGTTCCTACTAAGTCCTAGCAGGTTAGAGTGGGGTGGTGTCACACACCAAAGGTGTTTGGTGAGGTGGACATGGATGTAGCTGATGAATGGAGGTGAAGACCATAGCCCTCATGTGAAGAAGGACAGCCAGCAATGTCGGCAGTCATCCCTCGCACAAGAACAGGTTGTCAATGCCAAAGAAAAAGGAGGAGGCAAGTTAAGTGCCAATAAAATTCTTAAGCACCCGTGTACAGCATTCCAGTTTTTGACATATCTCCACCAGTTCTGCAGACACCGAAACCATTCCCACACTCGCTTGTAGTGCTCAGCCACACGATCCTACCTTCCAAGATTGGAAAGGATTTGCACACTCCACACATTTCTACAGCACTCCCTCCAAAAGACACTCATTTTGCTAATTCTTCTGATATGGCTGCCTCCACATCAGTCATTTCACTTGTCCCCTTTGCTAGGGACCATGGCTACATATATCTACCAGGAGTTCCTACCAGCTTCCGTCCTGAAGTGTCCTGGTACATCCCACCCTCGTCTGCCCCCTCTCAGCCCATCCAGCTTGGACAGTGTGTTCTTTTTGTCAGTATGACCTCCAGGAGGACATTCTTTGGTTGCCTCAGGTCTGTCATTCACTTGGAAAGGTCTTATGTGGTCGTTTCAGTCTCTCCAGTCCAAGAAGCATATGGATCCTTCCTCCCTGCCCCCTGCAACGTCTTCATACCAGTCTTGTCCATTATTCTTCCAAAATTGCGACAGCTACAGTATAATCTACTGTTCTCCACTCTCCCTGATCACATCCATGACAAGTATGATGCACATCTTGCCTCCTTGTTGCAAGATACAGCAGAAGACGCTCCCCCTTCATCCTCTCTTCCAACAGAGCCTTGTTCATGAAGTTTTTATTTGCTTCACTGAGAGGATGGTTTGGGGGGGAAAGTTGCAATCCCCTATGCTCCTGTCACCCCACAGACCCCCAAAGCTTGACCCCTGTTGACATCTGACTCACCCTGTCCGCTTTTGGATGTACTATATCGGCATCAGATCAGTGCTGCCTCTCTGTCATCCCACTTTGGCCTAGAAGCGATCTCTTCAAGATGTGACATGCACAGCCTCCCCCTAATGCAATTCCAGTGCACTTTCCCAGTTCCTGACATTGCTTGACTCATACTTTGACATTCTGACTGTCTTTGACTCACCTATTGCCAATACTTACCAATCTTTTGACTTTGCTTACTGATTCTTCACCTTTTGGCTTACTTATCCTTATCAATGCTTACCAATGCTTTCCAAGACAATTACCCATCGCTTACATTCCTTACTCATCAGTTACCAATCACTTACCAGGTGTTTGCACCTTGTTTTCCATAGGCAACGCCCCTGTACTGTATATAAGTCACTGTACTTAGGTAGCAAAAAAAAAGAAGACATCAGAGAGCCCTTCTTGCTCACAATTTATCATCTCTCAGTAAATCATTCATCAGCTTCAATAGTTGAGACTTTATTAAGGGTCTAGCTATCATCTACTTTGCTTATCATCATCTATCATCCATATACTTTGCTCCAAGCCCTCCCTGAGCTCAGTACAGCTTAGGACATCGAATTAAGTCACCATCCATCCTTCTGTAGGCTGACAGCAGTCTACCCTATCACTTTGTATCACATTCTTGCTCCCTCTTTGTCAGGAGCACCCCCAACCCTCAGCACTCATCTTTGAGTGTTGTAGCTCACAGAAACCCTCCCAAAGAACAGGTTCTACCATCTAGGTACCACATAGGCACACCACCACTCGCTTTTGTTGTCTTTTGTGTTGGTTTTGGTCGGTTTTCACCACTGAACCACACTTTGACTCACAGCGGGACTGGTGGCCTCGACTTCTGAGGGTTAGACACTTTAACAGGAAGTGATAACAAAGACTGAGGGAGGATTTATTTCCCGAAGGAAACCTGTCAGTGTAAGATGGTAGTGTGCAAGTGGCTTTACTCATAGGGAGACACAAGCACAACTCTAGGGAGGTGATCTATTAAAGCCTAGTGGCTGCCTGTAGAGCAGTGTACTTGATTGAGGGTGGAAGGATGCTTCTTGATTTTGTTAGTGTTGAAAGATGCATTGAGGAGTGGGAAGAAGGCAAGTTAGTCTTTGCACCGAGGGAGACCAACGAGCCTTTATTAGACAAGAGGTGGTTTGTTGAAGTTCAGTAACCAGGGATGAGTATACTTTTCATGAAGAGGTTGACAAGTCCCGAAAGCTGTGCTGAGTTTTTCAATTTTGTTATGCCCGAGTGCAGTGACTTCTTCAAATGGAATAGGCACAAAGTGCATGAGGGGGAGTCTACAGGCTGAATGTGTCATAACCCCTATGGCTCAGTTATCCCTGAGGTCTGGCAAAGGTTCTGTCTACTGGCAATCCATTGAGGTTGTTGCACAGAGAGAGAACAAGGACAAAAGGGAAGGAAGTTAGCTGAGTTGCAAGCTATCAAAAAACTGCAGATACAGGATGGAGTACATAGGTTTATATACCCCTAAGTACGAGTACCATACCAGTTGCAAGTGACACATCGCAACACATATCCGCAGTAATCAACAACACAATCAGTGAAGTAAATAAGAGTCATACAGTGTCAAAGATGGGGGTAGGCAGGGGAATGAAGGCTATACTGGCTGCACAATCAATGCACTGCAAGGAGCCTGACACCGGAGCTATAGTACAACATACGAGCAATATAAGGGAGTCAGGAATGAGTCACCAGAGCAAGAAACAGACAAGTCATCCATCAGAGAGGGTGGTGGGATACCAGATCAAAGGGGAGGCACAGTCTCGGCAGGTATTGGAAATACTTTGACAGTGGGAGACCCAAATGACCCTTGAAGCATCTGAGCCCCCAGGATGGCAACAATTATGAGAGACGTGACCAGGCATGTGATGCACATGACTGTAAAGAGTCAAAAAAGGAAAGACCCCTGACAGAAGCATAACACTAATTCACAAAATAACACACCTAGCTAGTTGCTTGTAGTACAGCTTCCTACAAGGTTTTGGATTCTATCTTTTTGTGCTTTTGTGACTCTTGCATGCTTGAATTACTTACTGCAATAGGTTACAGAATGTCTGTTGTTGAGACAATAGGTGTTGGGACAGCAACTGAGGTCAACAGAGCCCGGGTCAGTGCTGTTGTACAGTACTTCTAAGTTTGTCCACAGTGCCATTGAGATTTGAGACTCTAACAGGACAATCAATGCTTGTTCACCATTTTATGAGGCCCAACATCAGGAAAATAACACTTTACTATTTTTGACTTTTTGTGACTAATGTGACTTTTTGGGAAGGAATCTACTATCATTACCCATGTCCTGCAGGCATGGCTGCACTTTTCTTGCTGATTTTGGTCTTGTTCAAACCACCTAATTCATAGCTTTCAGTAGATACCACATACATTCAAATTGATGAAGGTTCCAAAGAGATATTGTGATTTTTCTCTCAGACAGTGTGCATCACACCAATGGCTCAATATCTCTGAATTTTCAGACATTTTCTAGTCTTCTTGGCTTAGATATATCATCACTTAGTTGTCTCAATAGATTCTGTTCTCTTTTCATTCTTCAAAATGCTGTATATGGCCAAAAAAAAAGTACAGATAGTAGGCTCCTTCCCAAAAAGTCACAAATAGTCACAATAGTCACAAAAAAGTCAAAAAAAGTCACAAAAAGGTCAAAAATAGTAAAGTGTTAATTTCCTGACGAAGCTCAATTACACTCACAGACTCGTACACATTATACGTACGGCAGTGCTGAAGACCCCCGATCCGCCACGATTTCAGGCTATCAGTTCCAACCAGACTGTTACCCTCAGACCCTCTGATGACGATGCTGGCCTCGCCTGTCCCCATCAGCCGATAGCTGCAGGTTCCAGGGCAGGGAACCCACACTCTAAATGTCAGATTGCGGTGTCATTTGATGATTTTGGTACCCGCCAGGACAGGTCATCTCCACTTCAGACTCTCAGATCATGACCGAGGACTTGTATGGCACTCACTACCGATACGACGTATATTTGGTTAGGGGTGACATCTGAGTATACACAGGCCAGCCTGACTAGACGAATTGCCGCTGAGCCGACGGTCATCATACATATTGCTAGTTGAATCCTCACGAAGATGGTCAAAAGGAGTGCACGCCATGCCATCCAATAAGATGGCACAACTGTTTGGTAAGTTCTAGTCCATCACACAGAATGAAAGGCAGTCGTAATGTACCTCGTTATTATCATCTCACTCTGCTGTTAATGGATTGGCAGCCGCGAAACTTCTTACGGTTTCCGTCACCGGCGGTCCAATGGGGTATCATATTGAACAACTAAACTACTCACACGCACGTGCCAATATCAGCAACAATTCCACGAGATCTCCAACCGCGCCTGCATCGGCAGTTTGGGAGAAAGATTGCCTTTCATTCAGGAGTCCGAGCCAGAAAGGATCCAGATTTTCAAGGGATATTTCTCGCCAGTTGTTCAAAACGATGCTGTTCTCGTCATCCACCCTCTGGCAACCATTATTCACAGCAGTTCATTCGCAAAACAAATAAACCGCTTACTACATGTAAGAAACCGCCATCCGTGGACAGGCGCAAGGTGTGAGACAACCGTAGGCCCTTGAAATCCAACACACAGCAATCTCGCAACTGGCTGTAGAGGTAGGAAAAATCTTCTATTGCCATCTGCCAGTCATCCTGGGAACCTGAAACCTCCACATGCAATGACGGGCGACCCAATTTTTGGCGCGGTGTGAACCATTCAACAAGAGTGTCGATATGCCAGTCCCAATCGTGGCAGTCGCAAATCAATGACAGTTGTTCAAGGTTTTCCCAGCTGTCCACTGGTGTGCGTAGGTCGGAGGCATCAAAAGCCGAAATATCCGCGAAGAAGTTGTTAATGTGACTGGCAGGCAAGCTTGCATGGCGTACCCCAGAGAAAGTCTGGCAGAGCATTTGTACTTGTGACTCGTTGAGATGGATCCCACCAGATAGTGAATTTCTTGACTTGAATGTGAAATGACGGACGTGGCCAAATTTTGGTGCAAATGTACCGGGGACGGAATCGGGGTGGTGAATGTATTCAATATATTCAAGCTTTGGAGCTACAACGGCGTCCATAAACCTATAGGGATCAATAGCGTCCAGCACAAGCCTCTGGAGAAGTGGAAAGCGGAGACTATTCCGTTCAAGGAACCAATCTTGACCACGGTCCGATGTGACGTCGGTGAATGTAAGTGTGGTCAACGATTGGGTAGCGATACCGGTGAGGAACAACTGATCGCGGATTGCAGAAATCGACAGGCCGAGCGTCGTTAGTGTGGTAGTAGCTGTCGAGAAGTCCACTGTGCCATTTAACTGTAATAGGTCCAGATGTCGAAGGGAAGGGGAGCGTGCCGGTGAAAGAAATTGTGGATAGTCGCAGCCACGCAAGTCTATGGAAACGTCTTCGAGGCAGGGAAATTCGAACTGACTGAACTTGTGTAGAAGGTCGGACAAGACGCTCTGCGTAATGCCTTGGACACGGAGGGTACGCCAACGGTTTGTGCTGGCTAAAAGAATGTCCAATAATGTGTCCATTTCACTGCCGCCAGGCGCGTTCAGGATCGTGACGTGGAGAGGACATTCACGGCTCCTCTTCAGCCGTCTCAGAAACGACTTAGGGCGGGAACTACGTGTCAACCCGACATCGCTCCAGAAACTGGGAGTGTTGCAGACCAACTCCCTCCAGAACGGTGAAACCCTAGCCAAGATCTTCCTTCGTTTACGCAAAAGTTTCAAAAAAAGACGTGGGTCCTCGTTGTTGCACATCAGCACGAAACTGAATATCCTCGTGACGAGTTCGATAGGAAGACGATCCACCAGAGAGGGTTGTGCCTTAGCAAGTTCGCTGATTTTACATTTCTGAGTCTCAACAGCCACCCGGACAGCTAAGAGCTGTTGGACAAGCGCCCGTTCGGTGGATTGCAACTGCGCCAGCTCAGTACGGGCCTGAGCGAGTTCGTCCATCATGCGTCCGCGCTGCAGTTACGACTGACATTAGGTTCTGTAGGGGATCTAACTGAAAGGATGAAGTGAACTCACCCTTCCTAAGGTGACAGTGGGGGGTTGTACAGAAATGGTACTACTCGTTGTAGCCGTCTCGATTCAACGAGTTTTTACGAACGAAGCGTGACGAAGCTTAAATGAGTAAATTTTGCTTGGGCCTCTGTAATCCAGGAAGGAGAACCTTTAGCAAGGATACGAGTCGACGAGCGCAGAGGAGCTGTGATGGTCACCTGCTGAGAGAGTGCTGTATAGGCCTCTATAGTCGATTCGATCGTATACTTATCTCGGAAAACTGATTTCTGAGATAACCATCTTTTTGTTTCCTTCCTGCACATATGTCCCGCCGTGCACCGAGCATGGAGTTGCTTCTACGCTGCTTGTGAGGACTGAGGTTCAAGCTCAACAGAACCAAGTCCCGCCTTTGCGCTTCAAGTTCGGCTCCAGAAAAGAGGATCTATTGAAGGACTGCCCCAGCCTCTAACGGGGATAAATGGTGCGTACGTTGCCTGATATTTGTGAATAGGCTAGATCCATGCTGATACATAAAAGATGGACAAGGTGAACATGCGGTTGAGATGCATGGCAATATTGTCTGTGTGACAAGATTTCCGTCCATTTCTACTATGTTTTCGCCTTCCAGCCAGCTGCTACTCAGATTTTTTCTAAGGCTGAATAACTGCAGGTCGGAGATCTGCGCGCCAATACACCGCACACCATGCTTTCCTTCGACAGGTTTCCGCTGAGATGCGTGACTTCGTCCAGACGAAGACGCCAGAACTTCTTGGACCGTTACTTATGTAAATCATAATACTGCACTGGCTAATTCTTTATCGATATCCTGATGGCATGCTCACCGGGGGATGCGCTATTGGTAAGAATACTGGTCTCGGACAGTAAGACAATGCTGAAAGCCCGGATGGCTTAGATCGGCGAATTTGACCTTCGTGAACACTTTATTTTCTTTAGAATGATTTCTCTTGACCATTGCAGCTGCATGGGCGGTCAGGACTTTGACAGCGACGCAGGTTTTGAGCCTATCTGTCTGTCATCAGTAAGCGAATATATGGTTTAAACCTGTTACTGACTGATGGTGACCGTGATTCCACCATTCCCTGTCTCCCTGATGGTGCGTGGCTACACGACCCGGCCTCAAGGCCTCATAGTGCACCAGGTTTGTGTCAGAAGGTTGATGCGGCGATAAGTTTGAACGTTGAACATATTAAGCTTAGTCTGCGACCGCTGATGACAGTTTTCCAGCGGTGCTCACTTGGCATTGCATAACACCTGACAGGGTAGCATACTATGTGTAGCGAACAGGAGGCGGTGGAGCCTGCTCGCCTCTTCCCATAACATAGGTTGTTATAAAGTTCTGGAACTTGAAGGCTAACAGTGCGTGGATTTGTCTATGAGCCATAAGAACCTCAGCACCATATTTATATAGTAGCAATGTCCATGGAGATACGACACCCAGAAGGAACGCACTACGTGGCCACTGCCAAGTGGCCGAACAGGAGGTTTTACTTACCATGGCCGTTAATGCGCCTCACAGTACTGCTTAAACGCTATTCCTTGTCATTGCTAAACCATTTTGCTATTTAGATAATCCGAATTGGAGGGACTGAGTGGGTCGCAGCCGGTCGTGCTCGTGTAACCCATTACCTCCCATTCCAGAACACTCATCTACAAAACGTTTGATGCTCGACGAGCACTGGACGAGCGCTTAGCATTTGCCGAGTTGAGTAACAGTACTTGCCGAGCTCTCGAACAATTCAAAAACTGTACAAAGTGTATGCTGTAATTCGACCGTTTTGCAGATGGGCCTACGAGGCAATGATGAAGTAAGATGGGTGCGTTGAACTAGCCGAAATTAACACGTCCACGCGCTCGAATCCTGGAGTTAGACAGCTCTGGGTGCTTCTTGGGAATTTTCTTGGCTTACTTTGGTCGCCACGGAAGAGATAAATAGCCTGTCATTTCTTGGGTATCCATCCATCCTTCACCTCCAGTGACATTACATACAGCTATGCAAGAGGACGCATACAACTCGCCGGGGGAAGCCACTTACTATTACCCCGTCATCGGGCGTAAGAATACAGGCATCGTTGCTGATCGTCTTCTTATCACAGACATGCAAAAGAACTATCCATACCAATTCTCACTCTTCATCCTTGGTTATTCCGCGATCCAGGGCGTCCGCAACACTTCCCTCGGTATTGCCTTACCGGATAACGGGTTGCCAGCAGCTTCCTTCTTTGAGATTGCCGCGATCCATGGCAAGCCTTACCGTGAGTATGTTGGGGACAAGAAATCACCGAAAGAGAGGGTGGCAGACTACGATGAAAATAATCCTAAGGATACGTTGCCCACTCCTTCAAGATTTGGAGGTGCGCCATTTTGACTAGTTCGGCATGCATTGGTGTACTGAGTTTCGCACACGTGTCAATAGGTTACTGCAAGTAGGTCGCCTCATTCAGTCGTACGGTACTTTCATTAATGCTGTTTTGCAGTCATGGATCTGTGACGTTCCCCACTTGGCACCGCCCGTACATGCTGCTGATCGAGGTCTGTCGGTCCAATCGCCCTTTGCTTATCCGAATTGACACATTCGTAGCAAGCAATGGGGAATGCTGCCGACCGTATCGCAGCCAATATCGAAAAACAATATCCGGCAGAAATTGGTAAATGGGTTCCAGAGGCCCAGAAATTGCGCTTTCCGTACGTTTTTATGCAGTTGTCAGTGAAACGCTTCAACAGTTGTTTTGGGACAGGTTTTGGGACTGGGCTGATCCAGCAACCAATCCACAAGGGTTACCCGCAGTGCTTTACGAGGACACTGTGGTGATCACGCTCCCAGGAGGCAAAAGCGCGACCGTTCAGAACCCCATTTCGTACTACACTTTTCAAGGGGGAATTCCTTCCGACTTCACAGATATATACAACGCACCGGTGAGGTTTCAACTCCACGGAGTGTTTTCTTTTCCCACATCGCTTACTCGTGCCCGGAATAGACTAATACAACAGCATATTTCTCGAAGTGGACACGGACTTATCGGCACGCCCCAAGCAGCCCCCAGGGAGGTACCGACATAGCTGCAGCCCAAACGTGAGAACCATCCAATCACTGTGTTTGGCTCATTAATTGTCTGCGATATGCCCCAGTGCTATTGAGTCACAGGCATCTCATCTCAGCTCGGGGATAGGTCTTCTGTTTGCCTTCCCAGATGGGATGGATCCTGCAATTGCGTGAGGGTAATTCCCGTCTAGAAAGAAAAGGCTCTGTGCTGATTACCGTAGTTACGATGAATTCTCCAATGCAGTGACCGAGTCAAAAAGACAGGAAGATTTCAACAATACTGGTGCCCTGGAAGCCCTCCATGGCATTATTCACGGCACTATTGTAGGTGTTTTAGTAGAGTTTCTTCCGTTGCTAACATGTGATGGGGCATAGGGTGGAAATGGGCACATGGTTCGTTCCGTTCATGCTAACCTTCTGTTCGAACTAAATGACATCCTATGATTCTGCACATTTAGACTAACCCAGATTATGTGAGTTATGAGGGGAAAATACATGATACAATTTAGGTTGACCACCTTCAGGCTGCTTTCGATCCTATCTTCTTCTGTGAGTCCTCGCGTATTGTAACATATAGTACGGGGAGTCTAACTAAATTGTTAGTCCATCATTGCAACGTCGATAGGTTGAGTGAGTACGAGTTCACATTCATTCGAAGTGCATTTTTGAACATCCATTAGTTGCACTGTGGGAATGGTGCTACCCAAGCTATTGGATGGGTGATGGCTACGTCCATGACGGCGTGAGTTACTCTTGGACGCAGGTTCGTGAGTCATCTAGGTTCGCTAACCGATGCTAAACAACAGTCCCTTGACAGCCACGCGGGACTTTTGCTCAAGTGTACAACGAGCAACTCCTTCCTACCGGGGCTCGCGGGAATTTGTACCCTTTCAGAAACGATAACGGGACGTACTGGACCTCAGAACAAACCCGTTTCTTAGATGCGAATGCCTATCCTAAATGTACGCCGTTTCTCTAACGTGCTGCGGTAGTGCACCTCACCCGCATTCCAATCTGCAGACTATTCCTACCCAGAATTTCAGGGTGTCAAAGTCGATCAAACGGCGACAGATGCGGAACGCGCTGCAGGTCGTGCAAGAATTGCCAAGTACTACGGCTTCGACCCTCAGCAAGCGGCAACACAAGTAGACATAGAGGCGTGGAGCCACCTGCCTGTCCCATCGCCCCAAAGTGCTGGGCTCCCTGAGACATTCCAGGCGATTAAGAGCTACCGCGTTTTCGTGGTTTTGGTCCAGCTTCCCGAACATGCATTTAACGCTTCATACCAGTTCGAGTTGCACAAAAATAGCGGCAACCAGACTGATTTAGTTGGCACGGTCACGGTTTTCGCTCGGCCAGACTATTCGCCATGCACGGCTTGTGCTTTGCGACGAGAAATGGGCACCACAGTCCGCGGCATTATAACGCTTCCTCCTTCCCTTGTGAACGACATCATTGTGAAACAACGGTGCCGGCGGTGGCAACGCAACTCTAGAAACGACGACAGAGGCAATTGTGCAGAGCTTGACGGGAAGGCTGTCGGATACATCGCGCACGGTAGTGGCAACTGCCCAGGGCGGGAAACGGGCGCCAACTGTGCCGGCACACCAAGTGTCCCCGCCAAATATCCTGCCAAGTGGGGTAACGCTGTTCAGCGCGGCCGTTGCGGAAAAGGCAGACGACAAAACCTACCCTGTGCAGTTATATGACTGGCAGAAGCACAATGCGTTGTTCACTGTGAGTCCAGCGTTGGGAAGTACATGCACGTTGCATAACCCGCTCACGTCTTTTCTAGAATGGTTGGAAGGATCAGACAAAGCAAAGTACACCCGCGTCAAGTGGCGTGTTGACATCTCTTCTAGGTTGGTTGCAGGGACGCGGCTAAGCAAGCTAGTCAAATCGGGTTAGCTGATATTCCAATGCCAGGGGAGCACCGTTCAACAGCAAAATGTTGAGACATTCAGCAGTAGCTGATTGAAAAGATAAACAGAAAGTTGGTAGCTTTTAGATTTCCCTGTATGTAGGTTCACTCGAGGGTCGAAGTAAATGGTGTAAAGGAGCCTTCCTTGATTACTTCAGTCAATTCACGACCTCATTATAAGCTAGAGATGATTTGTCTCGGCATGAACTAAATGTCATACTGCAATCTAACGGTGAGTAGGACCAGCTTGTTCTGCGCCTGCTACCGCCCATACCGTCCCTCCGATTTCCCCTTGAACCGATCTTCCTGTCCGCTTGGCACGTCTTACCGCTTTGAAGCCCGACCCCCCCCATCGCGCAGTACACAGCAATCTGCTGACATAGACGATGAGACTAGAGCGTCGTCATCGGCACTAGAACGACCGGACAACTTCGGGAGGCGGGCAGGGATATGAGGAACGGGAGACAGAGCAGAAGCACGATAGCTTCCCGTCAGTTTATGAGAGCGGTGATGAGGCGAGTAGAGATGAAAGTAGAGGGTCTGAGGGTAATGGTGTGGATGCCCTCGTCGGAACTGATAAAGATCGTGACTGATTGGGTACCTTCAGCACGGGCGTAGGTAGATCGGGTACATGTGGGCATGGTCGGACATGGGTCTTTGGTGTCTTAAGGACCGCGGTGCGAAGTACACAGGGCGTACGCGACAATGGCAGGGAACATACCATCCGCTGGGACTCACCAAGCTTTCAGCGGAGTCACAAAAGCTGGTACTTCCGTGAAATCTCTATCGGGTAAGCGGGGGCTGGTGTGCATGGGGGCAAGGTGCGTGTCGAGAGGTTGTCGATATGCTGTGTGACGAGGCGAAATGTCTGAGCGGAGGGGGCGACTCTCGTTGGCTCGTCTGAGGAGGCGTAAAGCAACATAATAGCTTTTAGGGGCGCGTTTGGCACTAGGAAACGCGAGAATATTAGTAGGGGTTCGGGATGTGTATATATATGTTACGATCGAGAGACATGCTGAGAGCTGAGATCGTATCGTTTGTCTGTGGTGGTACAACTACCACACGGTGGATAGGTGTTCTGCAAATGCTGCGGGAGAGGCAAGCTTCGTTGCATCTTATATCCAGGATGGTTAAAAAGTAGGTGATGAAAGATTGCTGTCACTCACCAAAGTGCACCACAGACTGCCACTGCCACGGAACGTACACCTCTGAAGGCCACATGAACAACGCGAAACAACAGCTAGCAGATTGCGCGCGATGCTGCGCTGAGACCAGCTCCAGCGAGGACGACGACGTGCTTGTCTTCTCGGAGCACAACGCGAAATGCGTCGTAGTTGTCGGCCATGGCGCCGGAGTGAACATGATGTTACGGCGCCTCCCCTATACCCTCTCAGCAACATCGCACTCCTTTGCAACCGTGGCCTTGGCACAAGTTCTGCCTAGCAGGTTGCATCGACGGGTTAAGTTGTCGTGAGTTCCGTCACAGTTAAATCACAAATGAGAGACGTAGTTGAAATTTTGTCAGAAGAATATTGGACGACGTGCCAGGCGTGCAGCCGACAGAGTCGGTCCGAACCTTACAATACCACTTCGTTACACGTCGACCCCCTCTCACCGTAGAAGTTGTAAGTTCACTTCAACTCATTTCAGTTATATCATCCACACAACTCAATGTTAGTCGTGATTGCAGCACGGACGCATAATGGACGAACTCATTCGCGCGTGGCTATAGAGACTCAGAGACATAAAATCAGCGAACTTGTCAAGGCACGACCCTCTTTGATCAACCATCTCCCTGTAGAGCTCCTCACGAGGATATTGACCTTTGTGCTGAAGCGCAACGACGAGGACCATTTCCGTATCAATTTTTTCATGAAAGCTTTCCCATGCTGAGGAAGGAATTGGCTGGGGTTTCACGGCTTTGGAGGGATTTAATCCTCGAAACTCCCAGTTTCTGGGGTGATATCGCGTTGACATTTAGTTCTAAAGTGGAACCCGAATCCTTGATGACACAGCTGAAGAGGAGTCGTGAATGCCCTCTTGACAGCACAATTTGCTACCTACCTCACGCAGTGGCTGCACGTCACGCTTTGGACCTTCTTGTTCCCACCACGGATTGCTGGCGTAGCCCCAGTCTCCAAGTTGTAGCCAAGGTCGTATCCAACGTCATGCACAAGCTCAACAGGTTCGAACGATGTTTCAATCAGTTTGTGGGACATCTATTAGGATTATATGGCACCGAGCGCCATTTAATTCTCGGTCGGCGCTATCTGTGATCAGTCGTTCCTCGTGGCCTCATGGGTATACCCACCCAATCGTTAACCACACTCACATTCACTTCCGACTGTGATCAACACTGGGTGCTTGAACGGGATACCCTCGACTTCCTGGTCCTCCAGACGCTTGTGCTAGACAATATTGATGCCCACGGTTTCGTGAACGCCATCCTAGCGCTAAAGATGGAACATCTCGACTACACTCGCCTCCGCGGGTTCTGTCTTTGGCACGTTTGGGCCAAAATTTTCGCCATGTCTGCCATTTTACTTTGAATCCGCGGAGTTCCATTTTCTGGTAGGATCGATCTCGATGACTCAGAAGCGCGCACACTCTGCCAAGCTTTCTCTGGAGTGTGTCACGCAACCTTGCATTCCGAGGACCTGGAACCACAGATCCCAGTCGATATCTGAGCAACCCTGGAAAGATTGTCGTTAATCTGTGACAATCTTGATTGGGACTGGAAAGGCAGGGCCATTACTGAACGGTTCACGGGGAGGAAGGAGTCGGGTCGGTCATCGTCGCACGTGCAATATTTAGGTAGCATATGGCGATGGAAAATCTTGCCATGGTTTATAACGAGTTGCGAGGTTGTTGTCTCGTGCTTTGTCTCTCACTACGGATGGTAGTTGCCTATATGTAGTAAGTGGCTTGTTTGTTTTGTATAAGAACCACTGGGAATAATGATTGTCAGAGGGTAAATGGCAAGGACAACATCGTTTCGGACAACTGGCGGGAACTGTCCCTTGGCACGGTGGAACTTTTCGGGCTCCTGAATGAAATGCCATCTTTGTCCAAAACCGCCAGCGTAGGCACAGACGGTGATCTCGTGAAATTGTTCCTGATATTTGCAGCTGTGGCCAAATACACACCGTATCAGTAGGGCCTTTACAGACGTTGTAGCCCATACAAAAGCATCGATTAACTATAAAACGTATCGTACGTACAGAGCAAACAAAGCATACATAAGGACAATTGGTACGGGGAAAATCAGAGGCATGAAAACATCTATCGCATAGTCCATGAATATCACGCATGGTTTTTCTTTGTTTGTGAGTCGCATACAAGTCCTCGGGCAAAATCCAAGAGTCTAGAGAAGAGAAGACCTGCCTCGGCGTGAATAAAGGCCATCAGATATCATACCACAACCTGACAATGAGCAGGACCAGCCTGCCCTGCATCTCCTTTGCGCTCAGATCCGGCCCCCACCAAGGAAACCCATCATCTCAACCATCTCTCCGATTTCCCCATGGCCCGATCTCCCTTCCCGCTTTGCACGTCTTGCCGCTTTGAAGTCTGAGCCCCCTATCTTGGAACCTGCAGCCATCTGCTGACGTGGGCGGATGAGACCGGAGTCGTCGTCAATACCACCAGAACGATCAGATGACTTGGGGAGGTGGGAAGAGATATGAGGAACAGGGGGCAGGGCAGAAGCATGGTAGCCTCCCTTTGGCTTATGCGAGCGATGATGAGGAGAGCGGACATGGGAAGCAGAGGGTCTGAGGGTAACGGTCTGGAAGCCCTCATCGGAACCAATAGAGATCGTAATGGATTGGGTGTCTTCGGCACGGGCGTGGCTAGTACGAGTACGAGTGCGTGAGCGTGAGCGTGGTCGGGCATGGGTCTTAGGTGATCTAGAGACGATAGTGCGAGGTGTGTGGGGCGAACTCGGGAATTGTGTGAACACAGCATCCGCAGGGACTTCCTCACCAAGCTTTCGGCGGAGTCGCTCGAGCTTGGCATGCTCTCGTATACTCTCGGGTGGCGCATCCGAGTGGGAGGAACCTGCACTTGCGGACGGCCCATTGGAAACCAGCGACGGTGCGTTGGACAGCACGCACCCCCGCTGGGAAACAGCAGCAGATTCCACACCGAGATGGGTGGGTTTGCGTTTGCTCCAGGTAGAGTCAGTCTCTAGTAAGGCAGGGACTGGCCCTGTCGCGATAGATTGTGATATTTGCGGAAAAGCAGCCATTGTCAAAGGGCAGGTCGAACCAGGGTATTAGATGAAAGGATATGAATACAGGATGTGGACGAGTTCTGATGCCAGATCAGAGAAAAAGAATACAGCTGGTTTGACTGTTCGAAGTGCCGGTACAGATGAGCCGCTCTTGGATTGAGAAGACTGTGGTGGTATGTACAGAGGGACACCTGGACCCGACTGGGGAGTGGGGAGTAAAGGGAGGACCAAGCGGTATACATACCGAGCTGGAAACAAAAGGACTGCCAAATCGCGACGATGAGTGGCCCCCAGGGGAACCACGATGATAATTAAGAATTCAACAGTACGTACGTACACTCCCTTTGATATGTTTAATTTTGATATTCCAGTGGCAACTGCGGTGGTGAACCTGTCTTGCCTGACGACCACCGCGAGGCTAGCTGTGTGCATACTCCATGACACCGGAGCTTGGCTTACACTCGTCTGGTTTATTGTGTTTGAGCCAGGACCCGTTCATCCTGCAAGTGCGGACACGAGGAGGGCCCCGATATGAGACAATAAAGGCAGATGCACGTTAGGAAGAAGGGAACCTCCACATTGGTACAGGCGGCACTTTCTGTACCCACGTTATGATGCAATTCCAACAGAGGGTCAGATGACGCCTTATCGCTGGCAACCCTGAATACCAACTCATCGAGCGAGTTGTACTGATATGTCTGTCCGTTGGACGCTTCTGAGTTCGCTCAGCACCAAGGCGAGGTCGTCTCACTGCGCGACAGTAACCTCGCGCGGCCAGCTTCTGCTCTATTCTGGCGAACACCACCCACGAATCCCGGTCGACGGATCTCTCCATGTTTTTGATATCGAAGCAGCGTCTTGTTCTTCTCTGGAGAAAAACAATAACAGCTGGCGCGTTCTCAGCTCCGCCGCTGCATCTTCCAAGCCAGGGCAAGCCCCTGAGCCTCGTGTCGGCGCAACAATCGCCTACGATGCCCATTCCGACACACTCTATCTATGGGGTGGCCGGGGAGGCGTAAACATGTCTCCTCTGGATCGCTTCCAATCGGGTATCTTTAAAGCATCCGTTGGAGATCAGGCCCTCAGGGACATCGATCAGCTCATTTGGGCGAGGCTCGAATCTACCAACGATGATTCGGGAGAAGCACCGGCTTTGAGGAGCTATCACGCCTCAGCGCTCATAGGGGTAGGCGTAGCCAGCTTTCTATCTTCAAGAGTAGCCCATCGGAACTTATACGATACTTGGTGCGCAGGGTAAGCTGTATATCCATGCGGGTTGCCCATCCGTGGGTCGTCTCGCAACATTGCACGCCTATGATCTGGTGTCCAACACCTGGAAACAATGTGCCGATGCTCCATGCGAACCTCGTGGAGGGACATCTATCGCGCTCATCACATTCCCTTCTGTACAAGAGCAAGTGGTCATCAGGTTCGGCGGTACGTCTGCCGACAACAATCCCGACATATTTTGTGGGTCCACGTTCTCACTGATCTCTATATACACAGGTTTTGCTGGATACGAACTACCGAATGTGACCCCGCCACCGCTCGACGTCTACATACCATCCGCTGATACCTGGTTGACGCTCATACCGTCTCCCGATCCGGCCCATGGTTACCCAGGTCCCCGCTCTGTATGCGGACTCGTCCCATTCGTGGTGCCTTCCTCCACTTCCATGGATGGTAATAACAAAATTCCCGTTGCGCTACTTTACTACGGCGAGAAAGATCCCTCATCGCTGGGCCACGCCGGCGCCGGCGAATTCTGGGACGACGTGTGGGCCCTCGTTGCGTCCCCTGGTCCCTCACTTGAGAACATCACAACTGAATGGAAGAAACTTGACACAGTTGGTATGTTTGGTTTGTCTTGTTTACGAGGTGCCAATCACTTTGTTATCCTATAGGATCCGAGAAACCGGAACCACGTGGTTGGTTCCCATCTGCTTCATACGTCACCCCCGAAGGCAAAACTCGCATCATCCTGACGGGTGGTTTACTTTCGACGAATGAGCGCAGTAGTGAAGTTTGGGTTGGAGACGTCCGGCTCTGATGCTCAAGTACGTGATTGTTGCTCGCGAGTTTCGCTGTTATTTTCTTTTCCCATGATCCTAAACATATGCCGTACCTTCGAGAGCAGCTTCCTCCATTCTATGTATGTCCCGCAGCGTACATACTCATTGTTAATGTACCTGTTCAATGAAGAATAACAATCCTCCTGATCGATGATCGCACTTCATCGATAAAGAAAAATGGATTCCCTTGTTCTTGTTTCGATACAGTATCCATGACTCAATACAAGCATAGGCATTGTCACCGTAGTAAGATCACATTAGTCCCGAGGTATAGTGCGGTGGTGGAAACTAATCCACTTGGTATTGGTGCACTCATAAATGCTAGATTTTTTTATATGCGCGTGGCCTGATCAATGGTTGTGGCCTGGACGGCCCAATATAATATCGAGTTTTTTTTTTTTTTTTTTTCCCATTTTTAGTGCGTTGAGGATTACATCCTATGTAGCACTATGCTATACTAGGTGATTCAATCCGCGTGGGGTCTTGTACCCCGCCTTCTCCCTGGGCGTATGAGTGCCCCACCAGCCCGGGCTGTAAGGCCCTCCAGTGGTCCGCCACGTTCCCGCCGCGCATTTTACTCATCTTGCCCTGACGAGATGGGAGAGGCTCGTAACGTCTGCTTGATTGATCGTTACTGACACGTACCCATCTGCACTGAGCAGAGAGTACCGGACAACAGGGTGGGGTGGCATCTGCCGCGGTAGATACGCGCCTAAGCATTTGGTTCTAATCGCGAGTTGATGCGGGGTCTCTTGTTGACAGGCTTATAAGGTGGACGTGATTTGGTGTTGGGATTGTGTGCTTGAGCGATCTTCCGCGGTGACGCGCTATAGTCCCACCGTAACCAAGTTGCAGTTGTGCGGTGGATGCGGGTTTGGTTTGGATGATGTTCGGGTATTTGCGCGTTCGCGTAGGTTCTGTGGAGAGGTATCAGTTCTGTTGGTCGAACGGTAGAGGAATGTAACCGAAGGTCGCCCTGAGGCGTCTAGTATCGTTGATATATTTTATCAGTGGTCCTTTTGCTCTTGGGTGTGCGAGGAGTGTGGCTGTGGCGAATGAGTCACGTCCTAGGGCGTTGAACAGTACGGTCGCGCTCGGTCGTATGCTGGACATTCGTATAGGTAGTGGTGGACTGTTTCCTTTCTGTTGTAGTCGCATTGTAGGCAACTGGGCGTGGCGCTTCGTTTGATGCGATGGAGGTGTTGATTTAGTGGCGTAATATCGAGTAAATGACCTTTACACTGAGCACAAAAATCGGTTACGTTCGATTGTTATCTAGGAAACGCCGATTGGCACAATCGAATCAAGCATATTTCGACTCGACGATTCGCTCAGATTTCATAGAGGGTTCCTCCAATAAAGCTGAGAAAAGTGTTTGCATATGGTACATCACGCGGGTACATATACAGTCTCAACCAGACTGCCAGATCCAATGGCGATATGCAGTCAATTCGTGCCGACGCTTGCGTAGATCAACTCCGCAGCCCTAGAAGATCGTGCCTCTACAGAACAACGGAAGGGTTTAGGATGTCTAACCTTTCTGTTAGAATGGTCCGAATAGTGTCGATGGAGATATACTCACGAACTTAGCCCTCCCGCGAACTCAGGAATAACGTCGACTTCGTGGCCAGCTTCGTCTCTAGCCTTCCCAATGCGTAGGGTGGCAAGGATGGATACTATCGCAACCCAAAGGCTTTGGTCTGCGACATACCTGCCGGGGCAGACGCGACTATGAATTCCACCTGTGTTCAGCGCTGTCGTTCTTCGTTATGCGCAGACGCCAGACTCACCGACCGAGTCCAAAATTTGGGGGCGCCGTACCTTCAGCAAGTGTTCCACTGGCAGTTAGGTGCCTTTCGGGGTTGAATGCAGCGGGGTGTGGGTAACGAAGTTCATTCTGCGTCATCGCCCTTGGTCACAGGAAATGAAGAAAATTCCGGATCAAAAAAAGAGTTCATACCAAAGATTAATTAGCACAGTCACACCTACATGAAGTCGAATGAGATGCAGCATAGTTATCGAGGGATATGACTTACCCTTTGGTATATACATGCCGTCAAAAATGTCTGCCGTCGTTGTCGTATGTGGAAGCACTACCAGAGGGACGTCCGTGAGGCCTTCTGCGCCCGATTTAGTGATGTGACTTACTCAAGGGGAGGCTGGGGTGCCATCGCAGAGTCTCTATGAGTACAGCCTCGACATAAGGAAGATTCTCTCTATCCCTAAAGTCGGGCAGACGGGTATCTCCAACGACGCGATCGATTTCCTCTTGAGCATTGGCCTGCGCCTCTGGATTTAACACCATAGCAAGAAGGAAGATAAGAAGTGTAGATGATGTCTGCGTCGGTGGGTTAGTGGTGGCAGCGCAAATATACATGAACTCACTGTTTCTGCTCCACCTGTATTGGAAAATAAATTGTGTGTTACGGTAGGACATGCCAGACCAAACTCACCAATGAATACAGTGGCGGCTACTGCTTTGATAAATTCATCTTTAGAGGAAGCCAAATCCTTCCCAACTTCCATCGCGAATAAGTCGCCCACAAATGATGTCGTTGCCGTGCCAGCCGCCTGAAAGACGTTAAGATCTCAATATCTGAATTCACGTAGCTACCGTAAAACCTGCCATTTCATCCTGCACATATTTTACTGGGTCATCCAGCACCCTTCTGACAAGAGCACGGAACTCCGCTGCCTGCTGTTTGAACTGTCCGCCAGGGAGCCACGGCAGGATGTTTGCAACTAAAATGGGATTAGTCGTCCCGCGAAAGCGTCATAAAAATGGACCCACGGAAGGGCATAGCTTTATATAAAGTGGCACGCTCCGGAGCCAATTCAATTGTGGCTAGCTCCAATAGATGTTCCATATTGGCCACAAAAGGGTCGTCCGTGGAAGCAACATCATATCCGTAAGTGATTGCCATAATGATTGCAGCAGACAGCCTGAAAACGATCATAAAACCGCACGAGGTTCGCAAGTCAGTCCTACGTACGTGGTGAAGTGCTTGTGATAGTCAAGTGGTGCAGAGAGCAGGTTCACGAGCAACTGGTGCACCTTCTCCATCTGCACGGCTTCGTACTTCTTTGAGGTTTGCTTATTAAACACCTCGTTCAACATCTTTCGATGAAGCCTCCATTCGCTGCCGTATGGGAGAAGGCCTGTGGAGAAATCTAATCTAGGTTCCGGTGGAATCATGGAGTTAATGAATAGTAAATGGTAGATAATTACGAGGGGCTCACAACTCATTTATATATGGGCGATCAGAGTAAATAGGTGACCGTTTCACTATCAGTTGATGAGCTATTTCCTCATCATTGATGATAACGAGTTCCTGGCCAAGCAGGGTACCATATAACACCCCACCTACAAATATACGTTGAGATGCATGATAAAGATATGCTGGTCGAAATCACATACCATACCGCTTCCCCCATCTTTGGTACGTTGTCCACGGTGCAGAGATGTCTATGTCAAGAACATTTCCTACTAGGGGAAGACCTCTTGGACCGGGCGGAAGTGGAAGACCATTTCTGAGAGACTTGTTTCTCCATCTCTTGATGGCAAATACGAGATAGGTTATCAAAAGGAAAAAAGCAGCAAGTGTTACAGCTTGCATCTCGACGTACGGTGATGCTGTGGGGGTGCGGAGGGCCTACATGCTGAGGGTGCGTTTTAAATCTCGGAAACAGCACCAAGTGTCAGTGTCCAGAGTAGGCACCCAGGACGAAGGGAACGTATCCGGAAAATACTACGCCTGATTAGTACTTGGGACGAATAGCCGAGTCGTTCCGTGCTATTCCATGTCTGACTCCTTCGGCTGAATTCCATCGCCGAGCCTTGACTCTTGCAGGTGAAGATCTTTCAGTTCCATTCCCACTGCTGTCATATCACAGGGAGATAACACCACGGCGTAACGGTGGTTCGTCGAATCGAGTTGGACTGGGAACAGGTACTCACATAGTGAGAAGGTTTGATGCCAGATTGTTTTCCAACCTCCGGTCAGTGGATACAACTAGTACTGACAAAGTACTGATGACTGATAGTACTGACCCCTACTGTACATAATAAGGTTCAAATGTCCAGCACTTCAGTTCCGATCCGACCCGATCACACATTAGTCTGCCTCCTGATCCGCGTTGCAGAAGTACTTGGTCCGCGGCTTGCCCAATTTTCCCCATTCAATCTTGGGTGCACATGCTAAATCGTATCCCATACTGCGTAATAACTTACTTTGTAAGGTTACCCGCGGCATTGCCATAGTAAGATCACATTAGTCTGGTGGTATAGTGCAGTGGTGGCAACTAATCCATTTGGTGTTAGTGCATTCGTAAATGTTGGATTGCCGATTAGATCGTACAGTGTTCTCACTGCGAGCACTACACACGGTCTATCACCTGCCGGACGGCATGTTTAGCATCGGTGAGTACAATGGGCCGCCCAAGAAGATGCCCCGAATCAAGCACGTTCGGCTCGACGATTTCGTTCAGAATCTGGGTTATCAGTCAGGGGAGGTTTTTCGAATGAAACTGAGAAAGGGATTTAATGTCACTGGTTCTATCCTACACCCCTTTCTGTTTTAGTGGGTGTACCGCTAAAAATGCAAATGATCTACTGACAATGAAAGTCCTGATCCATGGGAGCTGCTCTATCCGAATCAGACTCCACGGGAAGTGTTTCATCATTTTATGGCGCAGAAGGGTTGGTAATGCGGCATGTTGACGAACCGCCGAAGTCACAGCGATGCGGCTTACTTTATCGATAAATAAATGTATCCATAACCCATGAGTTAGAAAATAAATAACAAACATCCAGATTCCGTACACCAGGTCATGAGTATATCTATGGAAGACATCGTGTACTCGCTCGTGGCGAAAAAAAAAAGAGGCATAAGGAGGTTCGCTCGGCATCTGTATTATCGATTGTATGGATGGGAAACAGAGAAAATACAGTCACAACGGAGAATAATAGAAAGTATTTGGCTTGTTACAACAGCCGGTATATGAAGGGGCTCGGCCAGAGAGGGCTACAAAAAAAGGGTTCGTTATCAACATAAGAAGTAAAAGGATAACTAAGCAAGGGAAATCAAGGGGGCGTCGAGGAAGCGACAAGGGGTCACAATTCACTCGAGTACTTCCCAGCCGCATACCCACCACCACTGCCCGCACCCCCTCCCACGCTTGGACTTCGACTGTGTGCGTATCCCCTCCCCGTGGTCTCCCCTTCGGCAGTCGACGCCCGTCCATACGCAGCGATATAGTCGAAGTCGCCTTCGTCGTCACTTACGGTATGCGGATCCGGATTGACGACAGACAACCGTCTCATCGGTGCGCTGTTCTTCGGAGGAACAGCCGGTACGGGCGATTGCCGACGGAGTACTAATGGGCTCGTATCCGCAGGCCCTGACACATCCCCGTTTCCGGAACTACTCGGAGACCGTCCCTGTTGTTGTCGCCTGAACGCAGCAGCAGAGATCGTGCGAGGTGCTCCATTGGCTCCACCGACGTTACCCAGAGATGAGGTGGATTTTGCCATCAGTGGTGAGGAGAAAGGTGGTGGTGGGCGGGGGTATTCAGGCTGCGTACGGGGAAGCGGGGATCGTTGGCCTGAACCGGATGGTTCAGGAGTATCAAATTGAGTGGGACGGGATGAAGACGTTGGTAAATGTAGAGGTGATCCACGGCCAGTTACAAGGGGGCTTGGAAGTGACCGACCGTCACCGTACGGTGACGTGGGCTTTTCGGCACCAGAAGTTGATGGTCGGACAGGGGAAACGGAGCGATTGGCGAAAGGTGCGTTAGGTGGTGCAAGCGGGGATGGTGGTGTAGAACGAAGCGGAGACTGACTAAGGCTGCGTGCATGTTGAGGAGTATGTATTGGCGAAACAGGAGGCCTAGTAGACATGGGGGACGACGAGTATCCCAGCGGCTGCTGCTGAACCACATGAGTTGGAGGGGCGGGTTGGGTAACAGAAAGAGCCGGAGTTGAGGACAACGCCTCTAGTTCCCGAGATATCTCCTGGGCGGCGGCGGCATTCCGAGCGTGTTCGTCGGTGGCATTACCTTTGTGTGTAGGATCTCCCAATGCATAGGGTACTTCATCATGTAAATTCTGTGCTGGCGAAAGGGGTTGGTTCGTGTTCGTATGGTCAGAGTCTAAGGTTGGGGGAGGCACACGAGGAATTCGTCGACTCGCAGCTCGTGAGTGCAACGTGACATCAGACTTTGAACATGCCAAATCATGGGCAAAAACCGTTTCAGAACCAATGCCGTGAGTTGAATGAGTCGCAGCGCTCTCTGTATCAGTTGGCGTTTGCTCGCGTGTTTCATGGTCGTGACCGTCCTCTGAAGATTCATCACCACCGCCAACCTTGGATCTTGTGTCATCGTGAACTCTGGCCTCACCTTCATACGAGGTATCATCGCGGTCGTACGGTAGCCCTTCCTCCTCTTCCCCATCCGTTTCCAAGGAAGAAATACGAGGTTGCTGTGAAGCACGCTCGCTCGAGGACGCCGGACGATCAGAATGAGCACCATCCTCACCCTGACCCAAGCCATCATCCCAAGCTCTTATCGCAGCAGGTGCAGCACCGGGCGGGAGAACAGGAGGAGAGGTACTCCTTCGGGTTGCTCGTTTGTGTCCCGTGCCCGCATCACCGCTTCTCCTACCTCCGAAATAACCATGACCTTCGCTGCCTGTTGTGGGTTCATATTTTGGTACAGGATCATTGAGGGATTCGTGAGAGATTGATGTTGTTTGATCCATGGACATTCCGCGGTGCGATTTTGAGAGAGCATCCGTTATGGATGCCATTAGCGATGGCTCTTCTCCGTTGCCTCTGTTATTTAGCGTGGATAGGGAAAGCGGACCAAACTCGTCTGAAACGGGAGCAGGGTCGCGGCCACGAGAAGCGAGAGAGGAAAACTGGGAACGCTGAGGATCTTCATTTGGGGAACCCCGAACTCCAAAATCGTTTGTGGACGTGGACTGCCTCCTCTGAAGAAAATTTTAAAAAAGGCCGGTATCAATGAACGGATATCAAAGTAACATGATTGGACCCACAGGAGGTCGCGAGCCATGCCTACCGGCGTTAGGAGTAAAATCGTGATGAGGCGCTGATATCTGGTGCACAGTCAGGTGAGACTGCGTCTGTTCTGATGAAGGCGCAGTGTGATTTTGTTCCTCCAGCGCGGGCGCTTGGAGAACCCCATATCTGCGTCCTGAAGGGGCCCCTGAGAATCTGACTTCACCAATGGCACGTTGAGCTTCCTCGACATAGTCGTTTACACGACCGCGGCCAGTGTAAGGCGCACGCGGGAAGCCAGGGGTTGTGGCGATATCAGGAATTTCCTTCCGACAGGCATATAGAATTAGCAAGGTATAAAGTATAACGGAATAAAAGCGAAGAAGTACCTGCACAACGCCCTTTCCGATGTCACCCACGATCTGTACGAAGAATCAATCATAGTGCCGAACACCCAAGAATTTCATTACAAACATTCCCCTTTTCACAACATTCGACCAATCCACCAAACTTCAAAATCATCCAGTTCTTTGTGCACTTCCTCTTATGGTCACCTAGTGCTGCTTCCTCACGAAGAATGTCGCCATCCATTGCGCGCATTTCCTCTCGCAACCTATTCAGAGTATCGGCTTGTGCTCCGAGGTTCTTATGCTCCGGGCTCATTTTATTGAGTTTCTTCTCAGCTGATTCTGCCGAAGCACCAACGCGCTTTCGCCGACGACGAAGATCATCGAGTGCTTCTTCGCGAGTACGGACATCTTTCATGTTGTCGCGCACGGTATGATGGAGAGACGCCCAGGTAGTAAGGGCGGCAGAGAAGTGTGAAAGAATGGTTGTTGAGGCGGTAAGAATGTCCTAAGAAGCAATTAGTCCAACCAGAGATGACACAGGGGTGTGCTCACTCCAAGATCATCGCCTTCTCCTTGTCCCCAAACCCTGAGGGCGTCCGACGCCTTGGTAAGGTCTGTGCTTAGTCTCTGAAGTCTGGGGAACGAGAGTGAACATGAGTTGGCGGAAGATAGTTTCTTTTGTTGTTACGCACGACACGAGGACCGACTTCTCGGCTGTTATAAGGTCCTGAAGGGGTCGAAGATCAGGGTTACCAACGGCGAGGGCGGGAATTGTGGTGTTGTGTGCGATTTTTGTCGCCGCAGATTTGAACATGTTGTATGATGAGTCTGGACAGTGGCAGCCACCAGCGCTATGCCAGATGCTTGTGTTGGTTGAAGTGTGAGCTCGACCTTCGCCTCCCCTGCCACATCAAGCTGTGACGTTGCGGCGCAGTCAGGCGCAGCCGGAGATGAGGGATTAGGTAATCCACCCTGGCTCAGAGCCTCAGTCAAGCTCCACTCGCCGTTGGCCATCTACCGTAGACGAAGTACCCAAAACCTAGGAAACCCACGGCTTCGCGACACTCAAATGGCCATCCATTTTCCTTGGACAAACGCCTCACTCTGTGAATGGGGTGGGGTCGCTGTCTGCATGAATACGTATCACTTACCCATTTCACCAAGCGTTTTGAACTGAAACATCGAGGCATCCTGCTGGTCAGGTGGTGATGAACACCCACGCTGGCTCATTGGACAGAAGAGAAGTTGTTTGTGGACTCTCGTGATAGAAGGTTTGTTCCCTAGAGTAGAAGCGAGGCCCCTGGAAACATGCGGACACCACGCTTACCCCCCCCCCGATCGACCTTTGACACATGTATAGACGAAAATGAGGGTCCCATTGCTGCGGAACAGGTGTGGTGGTAATCCTGCCATCTGTATCAAGAGCTCTTATTTGGACCAGGGGATTAGAAGAGGGGCTTGTCATTTGCAAATCGAGGTGTCATTGCATTCTGCCTATTGAAACTTGCAGTAAGCTTGAAAGGCTATCGTTCCTTGTGTGCCCCAGTCCAAGCATCTTGACGCCATTCTGCTCACGCATTCCTCCAACCAACCACTGTATTTGGTCCTCACTCATATTGCTAGTATTTGAATGTTTATGGAGTATCGGTGACGGTGCGCCTACTCGTTCCTGTTGATCCCACGCGCTTACCATGCACACCTGCGGCTACTTGCATAACGCATATCAGCTGATGTACGAACTCTCCGGACAGTCTTCCGCAGTACCGTTTGTTCAGGATTCGGGCTTCCATGGACAGCGCTACACAGTTACGCCATAGCCCAACTTTGGTCACTTTTTGGCGCCAATTGTTTTGATATGCCAAAGCCTTAAGGTTTGGCGTGAGAGGAGTTTGCCCTTCCAATGCTAGTTCGCCGGTGTTCTTTCTCGTCCGACCTCAGCCTATCAGTTTTTTGCCGTTGTCCTAAACCTGATTGGCATCTGCGACCTATATGTAGGTCAGCAAATCAGTGAGTTCTTTCACTCCGTTACTCCCAGATCTGCTTATGTAATCTCCGCGGGACAATCGCCAGCTATATTAGGTAGTCATCCAGACGGCCTTGGAATATCTCCGACAGTTGTGTGGGAATAAGACAAGGACTTCCGTCCGTCATTTCACGTCATGGAAGGAGCGTAGGTGTATCTGGACTTACCTGCTATGTGAACGTCTCTGAGAGGGGAGTCCTTTTTTTCCTACAATAAAGGCAATCAGGTCCGGTCCGATCAGTGGGCTGTGGCGAGTTAATCCGTTGATGATCTTGCAAAATACAATGAATAATACTGAAAAGAATGGGGATGTCCTATTCCGTCTGGACGCTCTCAAATGGTATGTCAGCTTTCATGACATTACAATTCCGAAATCCGAGGGGCGATAGCTGCCGCTAGCAGAATCAAGGTATAAATCTTGCACACATGTCCGTCTCAAGGATAGCACGTTCAGTTTTTCTACGATGACAAAATCACTGCAGCTTCGTAAAATCTTCAGCGCCCTATACACCCTTTTCCTCTTCACTCAGTCCGACATCAGGATTGCCTTGCTACCGGTAGTGAGAAACCTTCTCTAATGCTATATTTCTGCTGCTGACGCTGTTCCTGAAAGACTTTGTTTTCCATCGCCGCAGCTCCACTGGCCACCCCCATTCGGCTGCTCGAGACCACTTTCTGGATCTGGCTTCACCTGTTGCAATGCAACGTAGCTAACCAGATCAAAGAACCTGACGAAGACAATATCAACAAGCCCTCTAGGCCAATCCCCTCGGGTCGGATCACCGTAGAGGATGCCACTCTTCTTAGATGGGCTCTTGTTCCCATTTGCTTGGTGTACTCCGCGATCTACAGCATGGAGCTGATGCAAATCAGTCTCACCCTTATGTTGTTTACCATGTGGTATAACGAACACGATGGGGACAAAGATTACTTATCCAAAAATCTCTTAACTGCGGTTATGTACGGCATAAGCGAGCTTGGTGGTACTCTTGTTGCAGGTATACTCCTCCATCGCCCTCATTTTGGACTACAGCTGAACACTTTCGCTCCAAGGTCGTGACCGCACTCAAGTTAGCCAAACGGGACGAATCGCCACTGAAATGACGGTGGCTGTTTTCATGTCAACTCTGCACGCCCAAGACTTCAAGGATGTGGATGGTGACTGCTTAATAGGACGACGGACCTTCCCCATCGCCTATCCTGTCGCGTCGCGTTTTGCAATTGGACTGGCAATTCCCCTTTGGTCGATCTTACTCACCGTTGTGTGGCAACTTGATCCGTTATGTGCAATTGCTTTTGTTGGTCACGGATGTTACGTCGGAGCCAGGTTCATGCTTTACCGCACCGTGCAGGATGATAAGTTATCCTGCAAACACTACTGCGTGAGCGTTTCCATCCTCTAGCAACGCGTTGAGTCGATGTTAAGTGATCGTTTTAGGCATGGTTTTCCATACACCACCTGTTCCCAGCATACTGGTATTACCGCCACGGCGCGAACCAGTGTCCGAGCTTCGCATTCATTGAGAAGATGCTTACTGATCGATGCTATTTGGCGTCGTTACATAAATGACTGCAGCAATTTGCTGTTTTTCGTTTGGTTCTTCAATATTACCTTGCTGTGTAAGCAAGGTTTCCTTCAGCATTTCACCATGCATACGTATTTTTATGCTCTCACGGCTGTTGTTGATGGCATACTTAACCCTACACACACCTATTATAGCCGAACCTCGCGGGGTGAATGCATGTACTTACATATACTTCCAGTTGTTTGTGTACAAGCGATGGCAAAATGATTCATGACATTGTATAACCAGTGTGTGAGACTGATACCAGTTGGAGATGCAGAGACAAATTGCCGACAGTTTCGGTTTTAGCTGGAACGAGATGTAACGGGTAGTGATCGGAGGCTCGGAAGTTGTGAAGATAGATACCATCACGGCGACAAGATTGCGCCAGTGGCAGTTAGTTGGTACGTGGTTCCGCGTTCGACGTAGCGGAACGGCCTCCGCATTAGACCTGCTGCGCCAAACTGCTTACACTTTTGGAGTAGTAATAAGTACTGTCCAGGTTATCTACCACGCGCAGTACACAGACCACTGACTGCTGTTGAGTTTCGTTTGTATCCTGCGACACTTTTCTGCGTTCTGCAAAGAACCTGAGTTCGTGTTGTGGATACATGTGAACTACCCATATCGCTTGGCGCAACGCTTCTCTCCTCTGTGAATAGAGTCGAGTGGTATTCCTTTCTCCATGGACAAGTATGCGGCACCTACCAATTTTCCTAAGCTTCTCAAACCGAAACTTATCGACATCTGTGGGTCACACTTGGAAGTTTTCTGCGAACTCTCTCGGCAGAAGCTTTGCTCCGGGCCTAATGTACCCTGCAAACGTGAAAACCCCACGCTTATTTTCGGATCGACCTTGTATCGTCTGCATTTGGTCTGCATAGTAAGTACATACCCGTGGAATCCTAGTCTTGCCAAGCTCTCATCTTCGTACGTCGCTGGGTTTCAAATTTGTTTTATGTAATCACATCGTTTCCTTTTAGAGGTGAACTGTGAACTCCATGGTGGTGAGATTCGGGCTCGGGCGATATCATTCGCCGATGCATAATGATGATAAAACGCCAGCAGACGACCGTATTTGACGGGCTTCCTTAAACTAACTGATCCTGCATTGGTTACTAACAAACGAGTAGCTTTTTACGCACATACTGCCAGCCGACCTCGACAACTTGAAACGATGGCCTCAGGGTTACTGGGTACGTGCCGAGCTCGGATCTAGTTGGATACGTTGACAAGATTGAAAATCCCATTCCAGAGAGACATGTCTTTTCACTACGGAGCACGTTTGGTCTGTGCGTCGGAGGATAAATCACTGGGAAGAGGGATGTTACAATACAATGTGCACTATTGAAATACCCAGTCTCGGAGAGCGAGCAAGGCCCGGGTTGACATTAGTGCTGACCCACAGATCGTCTGCCAAAAGCCCTCCGTTTTCATCTCATGCGCTTGACTGCAGAATTCAGACAAACAGGATTACTATCACCCTACGACTGTGCATCTCCTACAGTTGAAAGCAGCTGGAATTCCCTCCGCCAATCGAATTCGAGGAAGTACGCTTGATCTACACGCTCGATAACGGCGAAAGCGCCGATTTGAACCGTGGTACCTCCAAGGTCGACGGGGCAGGGGGGCAACAAGGTGGACGGGATGGGAAATGCAGTGCGTATCCTTTTCCATCCATAGCCAGTGCAGTACGTCGAATGTGTACCTGACACGGCTTCATCTGATGAATGAACAGATGCAATGAATCTTCTACTTATCTCTATAACACAGCTGCTAGTAGTCGGGATCGCACAGTCAGGAAGCTGTATGCCGTGGTGCGTTCCACCCATTTTTCGTACATCGCTTCATAGATCGATCCCTAATTCATCTCCCCTCAACATCCCTGGGTACTTCCTACAGCCCATACAACCAACCCAACCAGGACACACGCTCACGCTCCCCGACTGCACCCATCCACATCCCTTTGCACTTATATTCATAGAACCAACGCTCATGTTCCCCGCTATGCCACCCACAGATCCGGCGAAGCAAGCTCTTAAGAGGAGGCGGAAGTTGAAAGCGATCACGGAACCGAAGTCGGAATGATAAGGATGCAAACAGGAATGGTAATGGTAAGGCTGGAGGGAAGACTATATGGTCGAGATGGACGATCAAGCGCTAGATTTGTTCGTGGTGAGTGACCTACAGATGCCCTGCCCCACGTAGCAAAAAAGCATCATGGGTAGTTGGGGTGTCAGTGTCCTGGCATGGTTTTGATATTGTCCCTGTCATATATCACAAAGGGAACACAGGCTTGAGGAAGTCGGTGGACCAACGCCACCATGTCCATCTACTTGATTCCTTACCTTGTTCGTTTCACCTCGTCCTGCCACGTGTATACAATTCATCATGAAGGCCACGCTGACATATACCCGTCAGAACAGATACCACAGGAGACTCAGAAGGAGCTCGTGGACGCGTTCCACTTTGCCGGTCGGTTACATAGCAGCTGCAGCGGGGCTTACTGTATGGGCTCCCCTCGATTGAGACGGTGACGTCACCGTGACGACAGTAGTGGTGATGGTCAGCGTACATAGACCTTCCGGAACGTACGTCTTGTGGGAGGATAGCTTCGTTTGGTTTTGATAGTGTAGGGTAAGCGACCTAGGTTGAAATTCTTTGGATTTTGGATAGTGAAACAATCTTGGCAGGTAAAAGGTATAACAGTACACTTCGGATACTGAGTGGCGAGTCCCGCGCTGAGGAAACGTGAGTGGCAGCTAAGTCTCATGAGCTGTCTCTTCACTTCCATTAGTGTCGACGTCGCGGAGTCGAACTAAATTATTCGATCCCGCCAATAGCCGACATGCAGGAAGGAGTAATGTGGATATCGTTATTGTGGGTGTCCATACGTCGCAGTAAGTCCAGGAACGCCAGAAAGATCTGCCTGCAGCAATTTAACGCAACGATAGGTAGCCGCAAGTAACATACAGCAGTAGTAGACACTGACCAAAGAATGTCCGTGAATAGGCCCAAGCAAATAAACATACGCAAGACGATGAGGCCAATTCTCTGGTCTTGCTGCAGTTCGGGCCGAGCACCTTTACCTCTCTAGAGAAGGAAGACGAATCCATAAAGAGTCGGCGAATGCGACAGGTGCCTTTCTGGTCACTTAACCGTCCCGATCCGAGTGGCTTGTTGACCGTTTATGCAGCATGGTCCTTCGAAATCGACAAGCAACTAGTAGTGTATGGGTAACCTGGTCATGCATAACCTCCGGACCCTTCACCTTACAAGTTCCCACTGACTACTGTCGAGATTTGTTTGAACCTTGTGGCGTGTTTCTAGGTTCTGCGAGGGACCTCAGGCACGTCACTCCTCGGACAAAATCGAATGAGATGTCTGTCCGCATGAGTATGTGCACTTACCCATTTAACTAAATATGCATCCTGTCTGTCTTATAATGACGAGCGCCCACACTGGCTCATTGGATAGAAGAGAAACTGCCCGCGGACCGCCATGGTAAAAGATTCGTTCCATGGTGCAGAAGCGAAGGCTCCTGGAAACATGCGGACACCTTCGTCATCTGTATAGTCGAAGTCCAGCATCCCATGTGTGCCTGGTACTTTGTGTGAGACACGCGTTTCAGCCAGGAGGAGTTCAGAAGATGGCGTGTCATGGCGTGTTATTTGCCAATAAGAGTGTCGCGTTCAACTTGAACTTACGTAAAGCTGTTTTGCCTTATGTGCCAGGTTCAAGTACTTGTCTCGGTGCCGTTCTGCCATGCCCCTCTCCAGTCGTACATTGTATTCGGTACTTACCTATACATTACCGTTGACAGCCGTTGACAGCAGTAGCTTGCGAAAGTTCGCGGGAAGCATCGCTGTGCGGGAGTTGCCGGGAAGGACCCCGGAAGCAGCTGTAGCGAGTAGTGGCTAGTCGACCCATTTGTACTTTTCGTCCTCAATCAGCGATTGGTGCGTCCACACATTCACTGTAGCGCTGCTGGCATCACTGCTAGTTTTGATATGTACATTTTGCCGGTAGGCGCTATTACAAATTCCTGCAGGTCAGCATGATCTGCCTGACAAACGATCCTCCCAGAGCAGCCATCCCCGGCGCCGCTTGCACAAAATCCTAGCTTCCATGTATTGCACAAGCGAATACAGCAGCTTCGAAGCCTGTCCTTGTTCCCTTTTTAGCCCTTATTCTGGCATGTCGCTCGAAGCCCTTTTCGGGGTGAGGACTTATCTTCCACCGGCTTCTTTCCCAAGCGGCACGCCGAGATCAGCGCCAGCTTTGCGGTGTAACCTAGACTTGGTTGGCATCTACGTTATCTCCTTGTCTTGCTCAATCTCCGAGGCGTTCAACAGGGAGCGAGCGTCAGGCTCGGTTTGTCTCGGTATGCCTTTCCACCACAGAGCATTATCTAAATTCTAGCTGTGCCCAATTATCTCAGTGGCGTTGAAAATCCAGATTCGTTTCTTACGGATATCTCCGGCAGCGGTGCGGGAATAAGAGAAGAACTTCCGTCTATCATTCCACGCGAAGGAATGATGTATAGAGGACCTGCCACGTGAATGTCTTTGGGAGGCAAGTCCTTTTCTTTATTCGAGCTGTCATAACGCAGGGAATAAGGCTCCGGGACGAACCACGAAGGGCGAGGGTGAGTCAGACCAGTGAAACATTCTGAATCGCGGTGGCTGTCCAGACACGTTAAAGCTTTGTTAAGGCGTCTTTAGTCAGGTCCATACTCTCACGATGCTTGTGGCAGCACACATGGAAGGATACTTAGAATGGGAACGTTTCCTTTGGTCCGGACGTTCTCAAAGATCATATGAGTTTTCGGTTAGTACGTGATATCCGCGTGTAAGGTCAGTAGTTATTACCGGTGGCTTCCCGAGACAAACAGGTTCCGAAATCTGAGGCTTGAAGGGCGATAGCCGGCGCTATCAACGTCCCTCTCTCCAGTCTACGGAACGTTCTCAAGCTGTGACTCACTGCAAAGTCCCCCTCCGTCCAGGTTCGTGGTCATGAATCGCGTGGTTCGGAGATGATAATTCCCGCGCCGTTCCGGGAGGCGGATACAATGGCAATGGTTTTCAGTCCTGGAAGCATAGGTCTGAACACATGAAGGTATAAAACCTGCAGACATGTCAGTCCAAAGACGACACGATCAGTCTGTCGACGATGACAAAACCATTCCAGCTTCGTAAAATCTTCAGCGACCTTTACACCCTTTTCCTCTTCACCCAGTCCGACATCAGGACTGCCTTGCTCCCAGTGGTGAGCAATCTCCTCTAATGGTATACCCCCGCCGCTGACGCTGTTCCTGAAAGACTTTGTTTTCCATTGCTGCAGCTCCACTGGCCATCCCCATTCAGCTGCTCGAGACCACTTTCTGGATCTGGCTTCACCTGCTACAATGCAACGTAGCTAACCAGATCAAAGAACCCGACGAAGACAAAATCAACAAGCCCTTTAGACCAATCCCCTCGGGTCGGATCACTGTAGAGGACGCCACTATTCTTAGATGGGCTCTTGTTCCCATATGCTTGGTGTACTCCGCTCTCTACAGCATGGAACTGATGCAAATCAGTCTCACTCTCATGCTGTTCACCGTGTGGTATAACGAACGCGATGGGGACAAAGATTCTTTATCCAAAAATTTCTTAACTGCGGTTATGTACGGCATAAGCGAGCTTGGTGGTACTCTTGTTGCAGGTATGTTTCCTCTTCCCCCGAAGTTAAGATTGAAGCTAAACACTTTTCTTCAAGGTCGTGACCGCACTCAAGTCAGCCCAACAGGGCGGATCGCCGCTGAAATGACGGTGGCTGTTTTCATGTCAACCCTCCACGCACAAGACTTTAAGGATGCCGATGGTGATCGTTTAACAGGAAGGCGAACCTTCCCCATCGCTTATCCTGTCGCATCACGTTTTGCAATTGGACTGGCGATCCCCCTCTGGTCGATCTTGCTCACTGTTATGTGGGAACTTGACCCGCTATGTGCAATTGCTTTTGTTGGTTACGGATGTTACGTCGGAGCCAGGTTCATGCTTTATCGCACCGTGCAGGATGATAAGTTATCCTGCAAACACTACTGTGTGAGTATTGCCATCCTTCGGTGACACGAGCCAGTGCTAAGTAATCGTTTAGGCATGGTTTTCCATACACCACCTCTTCCCGGCGTACTGGTACTACCACCACGGCGCCAACCAGTACCCGAACTTGGACTTCGTTGAGAACATCCTTACCGATATACTTCGTATCGCCGCATAGATGAAAAATCACTACAGCAACACTATACACATCTTGGAACTCTTCAGTTTTTTACCGCACATATTTACTGTCCGATGACTACACCCATACCCTCTATAGTCAATAGACATCATGAGCTGAAAGTGATTATATGTATACTCCTAGCACTGTGCGTACAGACTAGTGTAAAATAATACGTTAATACGTGTATCAACTCTCCTGTTAAGCTCCCATATTTGATCGACGAGATCGCATCCGCTTTAAACAGTCTTTCAAGGGTTTCGTACATCAACATTTGTTGAAAGTGTTTCAGTTAACTATTTTCCTTCCTACGATTCACTCCCAAGTCGTTCTAATAATTTTGGAATGAGATCCTTGGCCGTTGTGAAATGATTCACCTCTGTTCAGCGTCCCAGAAGCGGGGAACTTATTCAAGGACTCCCCTTTGGTTATGGGCTGGAGAACCAGATAACTACAAGTTATCTTGTAATTATCGCCGCCGACAATCAGGGGCAGGTACAGACGCATATACAATGATTAGTCAGCACTTGTCTACCGATCGTATCAACGTTCGACTACTTGTGCACGGTAGGGCTCGGGCGATAAGGGAAGTGCCCGCCATCACCGTACTCTCCTTGACCTTTATTGCGACACTCCAGCTAATTTTACCACTGGTGCTCCTACTAGCATCAGGAAAGTTACATCTAGTCTGGTTTGTGAATCTGATACAGTCTGCTGTAGACAATTCAGGCAATCCAGACAATCCAGATGTCTGACGCTGAATGGTGTGCCAAGAGTTCAAATGAATTGAATTAAAGTTCATCAGAGTAAAGCAGATGGATCAGACAAGCAAGCTACTTGTAACTTTGCTGATGCTAGCCTTGCTGAAGTGTGCCATTCTGTTAACGATTCATCTCCTATTTGTTTCAGCTATTCAATGTATCAAGAGCGTCTCTGGTCGTTCTCCTGTGCAATGCGTTCCCGAAGAAAACTCCAGGGGATTGATAATGATCATCACTGTAATCAGAAACTTCTTTCTTGTGTCGGCTCAGTTACAAGTCGAGTTGCCGGTTTACAGGCTCTGCTGTGCGTACTCTGCTGGAGTGCGCCAAACGTGTGTTGGCGGACAAATTCTTTTCGACCGGCCCGAGAAGAAAGCGAGACATGGGTCCAATGGGATAAGTCGACGGGCGCCTTCCGTGCTTTGGTCAATGCTCCTGTTGCTGTAAAGTGTACAGCAACGGTTTATTCGTCACCATATCTGGAATGTTATGGAACGAGTTGTTTGTTGTGGCGAAATTAACGTGACAACATTCCTCCTCAATCCTAGTCTCGATTTAGATGTTACAGCTCCCTTCGGCATACGGTATTAGTATCTGGCTACGTTCCTCCGAGGTGATCGTATCGATGATCTTCAGACTTCCCACGTACCCATCTCAACGTTCACGGCACGGGTTAATTTATTGAAAGATACTTGGAATCAATCACCTTGTTTACAAGGTCACTCCACCTCGAAATTCATATACATTCTTTTGGTCAGCCGTGAATATCATGTTTTGGACCTCAGCACTGTACTCTGCATCCTCTGTAGCTCTGCAGCGTATTGAGCACGAGCGCAAGCGCGGTAAACAAGGTTCCTGCCGTGCAAAATGGCCTTATTCCAGTTGGAATTAGAGCTGTACATCTTGTGCGTCATTCGAACAGCATGGCCTCCGCCCTTACATGTTACCCGGGAGACTATACGGCCCCTGAGATCATCCACGTTCCGGACAGCTTTGAGGACCACTCTGGAAACTCACAGTATTGCCGGAGAGCACGCGTCAGACCTCAGGAGAATGGTCGTGGCTATAAAATCTGAGGGTCTGTGTTCAAGCCAAAGCAACACACCCACGATCTCGAGATGGCTACTCAACGATTTGAACTTGGAAAGATCTTCAGTGACTTGTACACTATTTTCCTCTTCACGCGATCCGACATTAGGATCGCACTGATCCCAGTGGTGAGCCGAGCCCCATCATGTTGACCCCTTGATACTAAGGGCAGTAGACTCTGTTTGCTATCGCTGCAGCTCCCCTGTCTAGCCCCCTTCGGCTTCTCGACACCATTTTATGGATTTGGCTGCATTTGCTACAATTCAACGTAGCTAACCAGATAAAAGCACCGGAAGAAGACAAGATAAACAAGCCTTCAAGGCCGATCCCTTCCGGTCGGATGACTGTACACGACGCCACCATTCTCCGCTGGGCTCTAGTCCCGATCTGCCTAGCATACTCTGCGCTATACAGCGTACAGCTGACGTTTGTCAGTCTCTCGATGTTAATGTTCACCATGTGGTACAACGAGAACGACGGAGACAAGGATGCACTTTCGAAAAATCTGTTGACCGCGGTCATGTATGGTTGTCTCGAAGTGGGCGGGACCCTTGTCGCAGGTACGCTTTTTTTTCGAGGACGTTGACGATGGATCTCACCACTTGATTAAGCTCGTGACCACACGCAACTCAGTCAGACCGGTCAGATTGCTGCCGAGCTGACGGTGGCTGTTTTCTCGTCGACTCTTCATGCTCAAGACTTCAAGGACGCAGATGGGGATCGCCAGACTGGAAGGCGCACTTTCCCAATTGCCTACCCTATCATATCACGTATTGCGATAGGACTGGCCATTCCCCTCTGGTCGATCTTCCTTGCTCTTGTGTGGGACCTTGACATACTCTCTGCTACCGCCTTTGTCGCTTACGGATGCTACGTGGGGATGAGGTTTATGCTCTACCGCACTGTGAAAGACGATAAACGATCTTGCAAGCACTACAGCGTGAGTAACGTTAATATTCCCCTCGGCAAAGTAGATTCTAATTGGTATATTAGACGTGGTTCTCATTGCATCATCTGTTCCCTGCCTACTGGTACTTCCACCATGGTACCAACGGATATCCTAGTCTCGCCTTGGTGGAGCAGATTCTAAATGGCACTGTCGCTGCATAGTTGTGTGAGGAAACACTGGGCTTTTCTGTAGTAGTGTGTATTTTTCTTTTTTTCTTTTCTTTTGTTATTTGTGCAGCAGTGCTTCATGTACAAGTGCGTCGATACTGGTCAAGTACTGTAGAAACAACTGTAGAATGTGTACATAATTCCACACTTGTAACGAAGAACACCGTCGAATAAATTAATTCAAAGTGAAAATAAAACCGATGAAGTGGGGTGGCTCAGGACAATATACTACGCCCATGGATTACCCTCGTCCTCATACGAGTTCCCTGAAGTTATACGCATCGGGACGCACATAATAAGGCGGCGTCTGTGCACGAATGATATCCTCGGGCTCGCTCAGCTCTGCAACAGTCATCATCATCTTTGCGAAGGCTCTCTTCAGCTTGCGCTTCTCAGGTGATCGTGAAGCGATCGTCGGTCAGCTGGAGGAGGCGCTGGCGGCTCTTCCACATTGGATATGCGTCCTGCGGCTCCTGATCCCAAACTCTGATCAGTGCGGCAGAATGCGAAGAATTGTTGGAACGAGATGGGGGTACATAGTGGCTATCAGTAGGTATGATAAGGTCGACAGCATCATCCTCAGCAAGGGGCGCTCGAGGCGATTTCGAGCGGAACCACCGAGACTGAGACTTTTGTGATGATGTGCGCTCCACGGAAGGCACGCTGGGGTGCGTCTCGGAACTACTTTCGATCTTCGGGGAAGATACTCTGAGTTGTGACTTCGAGCCTGAACCAGAAGACGAAGGTCGAGATGAACTTTGGAGACGACGACCATTGCCAGACGACACGGAGGATGAAAGTAGTGGAGAGGACCTCACTTCCTTGCCCTTCACTCTCGCATTAGTCCACCCAAGTCTCACACCCCCGGAGACATCGGCGGAATTGCCTTCCCCGAAATCAACTACGCGCTCTCCAGAAGTCACGTAATTCGTGGCGGGCCTCGGCATGTTCCGCGTTGCCCCGTAACCTAGTTGTACCTCTAGGAGGTAGCTTGGATTCGTCCCTCCCCGAAACAGCATGTATACTTTCCCTTACCACTCTAGCCTCTTCCTCCCACATCGCCCAGCGAGCTTCAGTCCGAGCTAACAGTCCACGACAGGGTACTGAATAATCTCCAAAAACGTATTTCTTCGCAGTGTTCATACAGTATCTCGTCTGCGCCGCTTTGGTCCTGCCAATGCATCACTGAACCTCAAGCGCATACTTCGTCGTCATCGGGAACATCCTCGTCGTCGCCTGGGATACGAGCAGTGGAAATACTCGTAGCGCATGTCCTGTGCGTCGTGCACCAACGTCTTCGGAGTCTTCCGCAAGCAATGGCGCCTACGACCTCGCTTTCACCATGTCCGGCTGGCATCACCTTAGACCCCTCACCTCCGGTAACCAGTATTTACGCTTGCCACCAGCCGAGTAGCGAAGACCGGCACGGATCCGACGTTCCCTCGCTGCACCGATGTGCATGCCACCTTCGCTCGGTTCGAAAGCTCGGTAGTTAATGCCTTTACCCTTGAGAGTGACTCGGGTATCTTCTACGATATCTCTCAAGCCAAATGCGTCGCGGAAATGCATAATCGAGCCGCATGCGAGCGACGTACATGGGTGGTCCCCCTTTCTGAGGCGCAGAAGTGGGAGGGTGGATGAAGTCGCGATAGGAAAATGCGTACATATGAGCTGCCGCGAAGAACGGCATCTCGAAGCAGATGAGGGTGTCTGTGAGACCAAGGGAGATATGTTCGTTGTCGGTGTATGGTCCGAGGCGGGTGATGGCGCCCACTGCAACTAGGGAGGATACGATGACAGATTGCCAAAAAGAGAAGAAGAGAATGCCTTTGACACAAAGGAACTTTGGTACTGGTCTTAATTGCGGGTGGTTAGGACCAGCAGAAATGAGCGAAGACAATGAACCTACCTGAAAGGCTTCAGGTCTGCGTTAACACACATCCAAAATACAGCTAGACACCACAGTGCGAGACAGATGGAGGTGTTATATATGATAGATACATACAGATATCCGCTTCGCGCGCGGAAATCACCCTCGTTGTAGGTGCCAGTGGCTTTCATTATCAGGCTCGCAAACGCGAGTATGGGTTTTACCTGCACATACTCTTACCAAGGAGTAAGCGACTGGTGTATCAGCAACAGGAGAACATCCATACGCAGAATGCCCCGCTTGAGGAACAGGAATGTATATGGATCGCTAACGTCAATGTCGCTACGCCATAGATTGACAGGGAAGATTGCTGGGATCGGTGGGCGGCCATGAAGCATCATGAGGAGAGAGCGTTCGCCACCTAAGTAATCGACAAGGAGGACGAAGAAGCAATAGATGACAAACGCCTAATTCAGGTTTGGGTTAAGGCTGCTCAGGATACAAAATCGGACTCGCGCACCTCATATATGTCGCGGATTGCGTCAATGAAGAAGGCAGCTTCCAGCGAGAAGAGTGAGATGAGTGAGGCGAACTCCATATAATGGGACCATCAGCATAATGCGAACAACCATCCTAGCGTCCTGTGCATTAGAAGTATCACAGCACAAAACCAGAGGATTTACCTTTGTAGGAATGGCTTCCTGTAGTTCCTCAATTGTAGCCATATCGACAGTCCGCTCACCACCACAGCGACGAAAGTCGAGACTCCAGAAATGACGAGGACAGGCAGCGGCAGGCTTGATCCTGCACCGTGGCCATGTGTCAAGTCAGGAAGAATACTCATCCCTCCTGAAATGAAAAATATATCTCGCTTATATCGTCGTGACGGGGTGAATGTGTTTCATGCATGCGCCGCAGGCCCGGCAGCTAGTATGTGCTGACCTAATCCACACCCATTCTTGGCCTGGGTACCGGTCACGTGATAGCCGTGCCGCGCAATCCGCGCGGCCCTATAAATTTCAAACCCAGATGACTCTATCGACAGCTTCGCTCCGGCGGCTTCTTGGGCGGGTGGTTTGGTGTCCCCCTCGGGCGGCTTTTCATCCGACGATGGTAATCCCGTAGGCAGAATTCATGTATCACCAGTTGTTGTTATTAGCCTGATCGAGTTCTTTCTATTTCTTAGGAAAGACCAGAAAACCTACCCGCTGTACTCCTGGAACTCTAGTTCCCCTTCTCGTACCCCATTATACATCACCGACCATAACGTCGCGAACAAGTTTCTTTCAGCCTTGCCACACGGTACCATTGGCTTTGACCTCGAATGGAAACCCGGTTCCAACCCCGTAGCCCTCGTACAGCTCGCAACGGCTAACTGCGTTCTGCTTCTCCACATATACAGGATGAAAGGTACGTGCATGTGTACCATGTTCGTGGTTTCTAACACCCGTGCACTTCTTAGAAATTCCACACAAGATTAGGGACGTGTTAAGTGGTTCACGGTGGACAAAAGTGGGCGTCAACATACAATGTAGGTTACTCTCCGCTTCTACGCCCACGTTATTGCCCACACCATCTGTACAGACGACTGTAAAAAATTGCACGAGGATTATGGCCTTGACGTTCGTAATTGTGTTAATCTGTCATTAATGGCTCGGTCCGTCGACAACGCTAGATGGAATGGGTCCTATATCCAACCCATCGGCTTAGCAAAACTTCTGCAAACCTACCATGGCACAACCCTATGTAAAGAAGAGCAACTAAGCAACTGGGAACTTCCTCTTTCACCTACCCAGCAACATTGTAAGTGACACACTGACATTGTCTTTTTCGCCACAATATTTATTGGCGTTGAGAAACCTTTTCCAATGGATTTATCTTTCACTTTTCTAATGGAACCTCTCAGACGCGGCCAATGACGCACATTCTGCCTACACTATCTATACCCGTCTGCAGACCATTGCGCAGACCAAAATTCCACCTCCTCATCCAAATTGTTATTCGTTTAGTTGCGTGGACGGTCAATTGTACGATCGCACCAACTGCTTTACTTGGGCGCCAAAAAACCCGAATTATGACCCCGATCCACCCCCTTCTCCAAAGGACCAAGATCCCGAAAATGATCAAAGTCCTTGGGAAGCAGCTAGTCCAGCTCCGACGATCGCAGACACTACAGCATCCTTGGCGGGATTATTAGCGAGTGCATTGAAAGGCATTCTGTCTTTATTTTTCTTTTCTTTTCTTTTTTTCTTCTTTTTTCTGATGGATTAGGTGAAGGCTTGTTATTCTTCCTTCCTAGTTTTGAATCCATGAGTTTTGGTTATATTGATGTGCTCGCGTTGGGGTAGCGTGCTACTCCCTTAGTCTCTATCATCTCCGGTGCGTCTGGGCTCTGCAGGCCAACGAGGTATTTTGTCTGAGCCACGGCGTCAATGATTGACGCCGGCGTCGTGAAAGTACTGGGCGGTGCCTACGATGCGGAAAAGCTGATCAACGGTATACATTAGGTGAAGTGTGGGGATACAAGAACTGAGGGTTTTGGTGATGAACTTTGTTGACTGACTGGATATCACGTGACGAGGCATTAGGTGAGTTACCATTCACTGTAGTACTTGACGTTATCGAGGATCGTACTTTGGAACTGCTATTGCTCAACATGGACTCTATGGAATCGCCCCCTTTTAACGAAGAGCCCTCTGCTCTTCAATTATCGGGGACATGCAGGAGGGATTCCTGCTCTGTACCATCATCGATTTGCGTGCTGATCTGCAGAACGCGAACCTCGAAGTGCAGGAACTTCCGAGGCGATAAGAAAAAGAGGTTTGGATGTGTAGAAAGAGTAAGGATTAATTGAACTCAGCTCCCACTCAAGTCTTCGACTCGTTACTATGACTTCGTTCTAGGGCTTGGCAGGTACGGCGTGCGATCCCCACATCTCATGATACCGACGATGTGAACGAAGTATGGTACACCAGTACCGTTGTCTTCGTTCGTTCAGATTCGTAAACTTGCGTATGGCTGAGCACGATGACTTCACTCGCATCCTCCAACTGAGTGAGCAGGCGGCGCTGAGTTCCAGCACGCGACCTCTCCTCCTGGACATTGGCTGCTGCCGTAAGTCGTCGCGACATCACTCTCGAAGCTTAATGCCAGACAGCGTGGAGTTAGTCGGTATGGACCTCCGATATCTTCCTTACGTTGGCTATCCAGCCCTGTGTCTACTCGGATGCGACCTCCGCCCCGAGTTCATTGACCTTGGGTACAGGTTTTACGGCGACCGTGGCTTCAGCAAGATCCACTTCTTTTCCGACGACATTCTCCAGCTCAGAATTCCAGCCTCGACTGATACGATCAATGATTCCTCGCTGCTGAAGGAAGTAAACGACTTGAATCAACTCTGCGGTCGTGTCAAGTACATTTATTGATGGGGTGTAGGAAAGGTTTGCGAAACGCATAGCATCCCTCGTAGATGTGAGAAAGGAAACAGGTCGGGCTGTGATTTTTGGGCGACAATTGGGGAGGGGCCAGGAGGGGCCACTTACAGAGAATAGGTGGGCTTCATGCACAGACAAAAGGACGCACACAAGAGGATTGACACAACATTCTTCTCTCAGCCCGCGTTACGTCCACTCTCCGACGAGTTGGGAGCACATGTGGGGGCGTGTCTTTGACGAAGGCACCATCACTGAAGTTATTGCTACATTGCGCCCATCAGAAGATCCCAACCTTTATTGGTTTGTTTGGATTGGGGAAACGTTCTTGTCCGGTTAAGACCCGTCACGGCTTTTAGCTGAATTGCCTCCGCTTGCACCGGACACACCGGCACTCCTAATAACCGCCTTATCATGCCTAAGCATCTTTCAAGCCCGCACAGGAAAAGTGGATCACCGTGTATCCCGAAAGCTGTCGAAGTAGCAAGTTGGGTGTCCATGCGTTTGAGGTTCCTGCTCTCGCCGAATTTTGAATCCCGACGTGAAAATCCACGAACCCTGCTCACCATATGGTCGAAAAGTCAGCAATCTGTGTCTTCCTGGGAATGACCAGGAACGACTCGTTGAGCATGGCAACGGCGGACACGCTCAATTAAGTTCCACGATGCACCCCCTAAGTAACGGGTGATTTCAAACCTCCTCTAGCCGTGGGATTGTGGGTCTAGAATGCCTAAAATATATTTGGAACGCAATACGGTGTATTAGTCGGGAAGCCTGGAGGCGGGAGATGCGGTGAGCACAGCCACGTCGGGCTTAGTCAGACAGAGGTAGACACGGACATGGACTTGTTCAGTAGATGCGTGATCACACTGCTTGCCTCGAGCTCAGTTTATTGCTCGTGAGGCTCTTGCCCGCTGCTCCAATGGACGCCTAAATTACCTGTGAGACAGACCGACGCACCAAAACACACACCTATGCACAACGGTCGTTAACGCAGTGAGTCTACTGGAAATTATTTGTGAACGAACGTTCACCGCTCTGACTAAAGGTGGTGGGAGGTGCGGAGTTACTGTGGCCTACCACAGACCGACACTTCTGGATGACATCAGTACGCCATAACACGGAAGTAATGCAATAGTTTGTCGGGTGCGGAGAACCAGCAGAATGGCTCGAAGCACACGAACTATGAGTTCTCCAGCGACATGGGACCCACCTACTGCAAGTATTATTCGTCCTGGCAAGCTGCCACTGCTATGGGCATTGTGCTGCACGCCGCACGCAACTATTACTTACTGCCTTAGAATCTCCGCTGAAGGGGCACGAACGCATGATCGTGTCCTGGCGTTGGACTCAGTGCCCCCGTAACCCATGGTTGAAGGAAAGGAATTGCTTTATTTTATACTTCGAGACGATACCCCTCCTAACACGACACGAAGATACCGATTGAACTACAGACCATCGTCGAATCTATTTGGTTGGCTGTGCATCCGAAGAGAGCCGGACTACTACTACCCGTGAGCAAAAAAAAAAGGATGCATGTGGGATTATCTGCAGAGATGACTCATTCGATCACCATGGAGAAAGATGACAAAAATACTGGATTGCAAGTACAAGAAAAGAACTGACTTGCAAGAGACCGCGGCGGATGGGAAGTCCCAAGGTGCAGTACTGAAAGCCAGCTGTCCAAGATTGTGCTCAAATTCACAACTACCGACGCCTGTGAGTGCGAACTGGCCATCAGTATAAATGGGCCGTCGTGGAGAACACCCAGACCAGACCAACAAAGTTACCTCTCGCATCGAATCGCGTTTTCCAGGAAGAAACATGATTTCCCCTTGCGCGAGCCTCTTCTTGTTGGGCGCACTTGCCAAACTCACCTCAGGAGCCACCACCACCGCTACCTTCACTCAGCCAGCCGCTGCGTCAGTCAAGTAGTTTTCATTTGCAGAATTCAATCTAACCATTGTCGTGCATCCATAGGCCTACTGACACCTCTTCGTTCTATGTTGGTGCCTCTAATGGCTCTCTTCCGCACACCGCGACTGTGCCAGGGCTGGTATTCGACCGCTTCATCCAAGTCTGGTTGGAAAACACAGACTACAGCGCTGCTGCCGCCCAATCCGTGTTCCAGACCCTCTCTCAAGAGGGTATCACCCTCAGCGGATACTACTCTCTGACCCACCCCAGTCAGCCGAACTACGTCGCTGCCGCCGGTGGCAACTTCTGGGGTCTGGCTTCCGATGACGAGGTGACGGTTCCTGCTAATGTATCGACCATCGTCGACCTCCTCGATGCCAAGGGCATTAGTTGGGCTGAGTATGAGGAAAATATGCCCACGGATGGCTACTTAGGAGACAATTTTACGAATCCAGATGGCTACACTTATTACAAGCGCAAGCACAGTCCGCTGGTCAGCTATGACAGCGTGAACCAGAACCCGGCTAGGTTGGCTCGGCTCAGGAACTTCAATGACTTTGCATATGATGTGAGGCAGCTAGGTTCACGTGAGAAACCCAGTTAAACAGCTGAGCATGCCTACAGGTAGGAAACAATACACTGCCTCAGTGGTTCTTCGTCACGCCTAACATGAAAGAGTGCGTACAGTCTTACTGGAATCTAGAAGTAGCAGGCTGACAAAGAGTATCTAGCGACGGGCATGATACCGGCATCGCGTACGCATCCGACTGGTTGAACTACTGGCTTGTGCCTTTACTCCAAGACCCGAACTTCAATACCGCGAGGACTCTCATTTTGCTCACGTTTGATGAGTAAGTTGGCCAAAATTTATAATCGATACTGACGGCCTAACTCGCCCTCAATGTTAGAAACGGCAACCATGCTATCAATAATGAGATCTATAGCATCCTGCTCGGTGGGGCTGTTCCCTCGAACTTGAGGGGCACGATCGACAACACATTCTACACCCACTACTCGACGTAAGTCCCTCTGTTGAGTAACATAACATGTAAGGGTGACCCACATATGTCTTTAGCCTCACCACTGTTCAGAACAACTGGAGGCTCGGTAACCTCGGACAACAGGACTGCAACGCAACCCTCGCCAGTGCGTAACATTTACTTCTTTGCAGTCTTGTCGATACTGACAATGAGTGTATCTCAGATGTATTCCAATTCGTTGCGGATGTGACTGGATACAAGAACAACGGTATGACGAACGGCACGAACCTTCCTTTGTTGAACATTACGGGAACCATTCCTGGTCCGCTGAACCCCGATTATTGGGCCCCCTGGCCTGCCCCGAATACCAGCTGTGTTGGAGCCGGTGGAGGGTTCTTTTTGGTCTAAGTAAGCTGGAAGTCCGCATTGCCGCTGTAGGGTTGCTATACACATCGAAATCTGCTGATATCCCCACTCTACTTTGTTCATTCCTAAATTAGAGACCAATATACATGTGGTCTTGGATGATCATTAAGAGCTGTGACGTCAGATAGCACATTGCAGAATTAGTTGACAACCCCCATCATGAAGATCGCAATGCCACATTGACATATTTAGCACATGGTGCCTGCAGGTTCGTTTGCAGTGGGGCGATTCCTTGCTGAAGGACAGGCACCCACCGTGAGAGTTGGCTTGTATTGATCCTATGCATGCTTGAGAGCTATTTATGGCTTTGAATGAGAGTGCAGGTGGATGGGGGTAAAAATTCATTGGTTCACAAATAATTTTCATTAGACTTACTGCGTTGAGAGCCGTTGCGCGTGAGTGTATTCATGGACACTGGTCTGGTTCACGGACAATTTTGATTAGAGTTATTGAGTTCAGGATATATCGGTATTCCAGACCCACGTCCCGTTGAAGTTTGAAAACACCCGTTGCTCACTGGGTGTGTGTATTCTGATAGATTCTAATTTCTGATAGTGTCTGCCGTTGCTATGCTCAAGAGAGGTTCCGTACCTGTTCCCAGGAAGGGACAGATCATTCTTGTCAACCATGTGGTGTCGACGGGAGGAAGAAACCAAAACACGTGGACACCGAGCTTGTTTTCCTAGATGGTTCTACCTAGTTTATCCACCTTGATGCAACGCATCGACAACCACGTGCCCCGTGGGACCTCGAAAGATATTTCGGTTCCGACTGAGTGCGCGATTGGGGTCGGAAGCTGGTGAGAAGTGCGGAATCAACCTATCCCGGACTGACACTTCCGGATGATGATATCAGCACGCCACAACACGGAAGTAATGCAATCATCTGTCGGGGTTAGGAGATTTCTAGAAGTGTGATTTGAAGTACATGGGCTGGTATGACGAGGGCGCACACGCTGCAAGTAGCGCTCGCCCTGGCAAGCTATGCATTCAATACTGCTCCGCGCCACGCGGAACTATTATTCCTCACAATCACCGCCGAGGCCTTGGGCACGTGTGTACGGGCTGTGGTGATGGTTATGCGACTTCGCGCATTTCAGAGACCTCGGTGGGTTAAGCAGCTGAGTATCGCCCGGTACCGCCGAATCTATTTGTGCATACGAAAAGTACCCATGAGCCAAAAAAAAAACATGACACTGAGGATGGGTGTGGGATCACCTGTGGTGGCATCAACAGATGTCAGTCCGTTACCAAGGAAAGGTAACACAAATACTAGATTTCATGTACAAGAGAACGAACGTGCGCACTGCAGGACTTCAACCGCGTTCTTCGGCGAGTCACAAGGTGCAGTACTGGAACTCAGCTTCCCAACTTCGTGCTCAAGTCTGCACATGCACATGTCGGTAAGCGCAAACTGCCCCTGGCGTCAGCAATATATATTTAAACGAGCGGTCGTGGAGAACGCCCAGACCAAACCGACAAAGTCATCTCTTACATGAAATTGCGGTCTCCAGGAAGAAACATGATTTCCCCTACTACGAGCTTCTTCGTGTTGGGTGCGCTTGCCAAAGTCACCTCGGCCAAGACTACTACCTTCACCCAACCAGCCGCTGCGTCAGTCAATCAGTTCAATTTCACCTGCAGAACCCATCTAACCATTGTCGTGCATCCACAGTCCAACTGATACGTCCACCTTCTACGTTGGTGCTTCCAATGGCTCTCTTCCCCAAACTGCAACCGTGCCGGGTTTGGTATTCGACCGCTTCATCCAGATCTGGTTGGAGAACACAGACTATAGCGCTGCTGCTGCCCAACCCGCTTTCCAGACCCTCTCTCAGGAAGGTATCACCCTTAGCGGGTACTACGCTCTGACCCACCCCAGCCAGCCGAACTACATCGCTGCTGCCGGTGGCAGCTTTTGGGGTCTGGCTTCCGATGACGAGGTGACGATTCCTGCCAATGTATCGACCATCGCGGATCTCCTCGATGCCAAGGGCATCACCTGGGCCGAATATGAGGAGAACATGCCTACGGATGGCTACTTGGGAGACAGCTTTACGAACTCAGATGGCTACACTTATTACATGCGCAAGCATAGTCCGTTGGTCAGCTACGACACCGTGAACCAGAACCCGGCTAGGTTGGCTCGGCTTAGGAATTTCAATGACTTCGCGTATGATGTGAGGCATCTAATAAGTTTCGCATGAGACACTCTGCTTGCTGAACATGCTTATAGGTAGGAAACAACACACTCCCTCAGTGGTTCTTCGTCACGCCCAACATGAAAGAGTGTGTGTAGTTTTACTCGTATCCAGAAGCAGCAGCCTGACAGTGAGCATCCAGCGACGGACACGATACCGGGGTTGCGTATGCATCCGACTGGTTGAACTACTGGCTCGTGCCTTTACTTCAAGATACGAACTTCAATACCCCGAGGACTCTCATTTTGCTCACATTTGATGAGTGAGTTGATCAAAGTCCGCAATCGATACCGACAGCCTAACTCGTACGCGATCTTAGAAATGGCAACTATGCTATCAACAATGAGATCTACAGCATCCTGCTCGGTGGTGCCGTTCCTTCGAACTTGAAGGGCACGGTCGATAATACATTCTACACCCACTACTCCACGTGAGTTTCCATGTGAAGTAACGCATTAGATGTGTAGTAGTAACCCATATCTTTAGCCTTTCCACTGTCCAGAATAACTGGAGTCTCGATAACCTCGGACAAGGAGACTGCAATGCAACCCTCGCCAGTACGTAACGATTACTTGGTTGTAGCCTTGTCGATGCTGACGGTAAGTGTATCTCAGATGTATTCCAGTTCGTTGCGGATGTGACTGGATACAAGAACAACGGTATGACGAACGGGACAAACCTTCCTCTGTTTAATATCACTGGAACGATTCCTGGTCCGCTGAACCCTAGTTATCCGGCTCCCTGGCCTACCCCTGATACCAGCTGCATTGGAGCTGGCGGCGGAGGATTCTTCCGGTCCAAATAGGCAACAGGACGGACAGTGTTGCTGCAACAGCGTCACTATGGCGTGATCAGCGGAAATTCTACATAATACCGAAGTTTCTTTCATTCCCAAGCTAGAAGTGCTCCTTTGAATCTAGCGCTTTGTTTGTGTGCAGACAGCTGCGATTATCAAAAAACAAGTCAACGTGGTGATGACACTGACCATTGAAGCGTAACAGGTCTGATCGCAACTTGCGAGAATAACGTCACCACAGAGCTTAAACCTAATAGGCATCTGGGAAGCAGCTTCGCGATGCGGCTGTTAACAGCTCTTTCGTACTATCGCCTACCACACAGATTGCCTCCCACTAGTTGGCCGTCACAAAATGTCACAGACAGTAATGCATCGTCACACCAAAGTTTCAAGTCTGGCCGTCACAGGCGTGATTCTCTTGTCACACTGTTTTTGCTATCTCAACAAATACTCAGTGGATCAATGTCATTCAACTTCATAGTACCTAAGGACGCATATTTCGTGACATGTGACCCAACAGAAAATGTGTTGTTAGGGAAAAAGTCATCGTTTTGAAAAACCGGCCAACTAATGGGGAGGTAAATTGTGTGGTAAGTGATAGTACTTGAGCGAACCTTCCCATTGGTGAATAAGTGTCTTACCGAGCGCGAAAGGAGTCTTACGATAGGTCACTTCCAAACGGAGGTTGCTGTGCTGGTATTCCCTCGGTAGTTTTGCGGATAGTGTCTGTCATACATACATACACCCGCGACTCGACGAAGCAGTTGGTCTGTAGCTGGATTCCATGGTTAGCAATTGCACTGTCCGTCAGGTCTGGACTGTGCCAACTACGTGGTTGTCTGAGTGCCTTCGAGCTGACTAGTAGTCGAAGGGAAATACTATTTAAATTCTAGTGATCCGTGAGAAGCAGATCAAACGGACCTCCCTTACTTCCATGGACCAGAGGACGGACAATGCCGTTGACATCAAACGCGCAGACGAGTTGGAAGCCGAAACGAATTTCGGCCCATTAAGTGCCATGCCAGCTTTGGAGAAGAATAGGGGCTTTACCCGCGGCTCAGAATTGTCTGGAGATTGCAAACACTTGGAAAATTGCTTGCTTTCAGCTTCTTGGTAATACGTGTTGTCACTGCCAAAGCAATACCTCGTCTGGTAGCACGGGTGGCCAACAATATTAAAGCCTATGTACACCCGTATTCACCGATTCCAGGATAGGTTCTCTCGGATTGTAACTTGCCTCTTCTGGTCACGGCTGGTTTCCATATTCGCCTCAGCAATCAACTTACTATCACGCGAACCGCTGCCCTCACCTAACCTCCCCTGGTCACTGTCAATTGTACCCATGCGGTCGAACGAATTCTGCTGTGTTTTCTTCACTTGGCCGTGTCGCATTGCACTGCTTAGCAAGAGTCAGGGCGCGTATAATATGTCGTTCGGAACCTGTGCGGAGCGCTCAAGGGCCGACTTCAATCACACGTTTTTGAAGTGAGTAGTAAGTGGTGCTGACCACGAACCCTCAAACTCCTCAGCTGCACTTCAATTACCTCATTTTTGAGGCTGAAAAACCACTCCAATCGTGGTAAGTGTTCGAAGTTTGACGTAGGATTGCAACACCTGCCAGTTGAAGAGACCTCCAACGTTCGTCGCCACAGTCTTGCCAAGAATTCGTGTTTGTATTATCCCCGACGTCCGGCCCTGCTTTGTATTGCATTACAGATGGGTGTAACGATTATCTCCAATTAACCTCACTTTTGAGTCGCGTTACTGCCCTTTCCCAATACGCCCGCTGCCCGTGAGCTCGGATCCGCCTCCCAAAAGCCACTCGGACCGTCACTTAATCCCCCGGGCAGTGTCCTGGCAGTTCTGCACGCTTGCTCACAAGTCTGATAAGCCTAGTTCGGCACACCGTTCAGGCGAATAATGCGGCATGGCATATGCACTATCGCGAAGTCGCTACCGCCACTGCCGGTATCAAACCGATATCGTGACACTAATCGCTGTTTATTCGGCCACTTCTCGCGGTGCGGTATCATTGTTCTGGGGCAAGCTGTGTGGCGTCCTCTGCGTATAATAGGTGGGGATTCACGGCGAAGGATAGAAAGTCACGACTCCCCCTTGTGCATTCGACAACTTTCCTCAGCGAATTCTCTTTCCATCAACCAATGGCTCCCGTCGCTGTTGCACCTGTTGCCGTTGAGGCTACTCTCTGTGACTTGAAAGCCTCTGTGGCTTGCACCTCTACTCAGACTTTGCTCGACGTCCTTACCCACGCCGCATCCCAATATCCTGAGCACGAATTAGGTTTCGTCACATCCTCCGCACACGATTCCTCCATTCAAACCAAAACATTCTCCGAATTCGCGCAATATGTTCGTTCTTTGGCTCAGGTTATCCGCTCCTGGGGGAAACCTACCGGCTCAATCGTCGTCGTCTATCTGACTGAGCACGAAGAAAATATGGCGGCCGTCTGGGCTTGCTTGCTTGCAGGTCTTGTCCCGTGCCTTCAGCCTGCCCTCAGTGCGCAACAATCTCACAAGGAGGGACACGTTGCACACATCAAGGGTCTCTTCGGTTCGGCTACCTGGCTGACCAACGAGACGGGTGCCGAGCAACTGCTTTCTATCCCTGACCTCGATATCCACTTGTTCTCCCAGTTGAAGGAGTCTGCTTCTGCTTCGGACCCCGCGGAGTTCAAAGCACACGAACCCAAGATTGATGACGAGGCTATCCTCTTCTTGACTTCAGGCTCCACCGGTTTCTCGAAAGCTGTCGTCCACACTCACCGCACCATCCTGGCTGCTTGCCATGCCAAGGGCAAGAACTATCGTTTGACTTCGGAGAGCAAGATTCTAAACTGTACGTGAGCACTAACGTGATTTCGGTAACGTCAGCCCTAACATATTTCATTAGGGGTTGGATTCGATCACGTTGCGGGTTCGATCGAAATGCACTTGGCGCCTCTGTTGTATGGCGCTTCCCAAGTTCATGTGCATCCGTCTGCTATCCTCTCCGACCCTCTTCGCTACCTCCGCCTGATAGAAGAAAAGGTTTACCGATTCTGCCTGGTTTTCCATGCCATTTACTAACGTGCACCAAACAGTCCATCGAAATTGCATTCGCTCCCAACTTCCTTCTCGCCAAGCTCACACGTGACCTGGAGAAGCGCAATGAATTATTTGGCACCTTCAACTTGTCGTCGCTAAGGCGCATTAACAGCGGTGGTGAAGCTATTGTCAGCAAGACTGCACAGGCTTTCGCCGCTACCCTCAAGAACCTCGCAAAGGACTCCAACGTGTCCTGCGTTATCTCGGCCGGTTTTGGTATGACCGAGACCTGGTTAGTGCACGTGCCACTACTATTTTTCAATCATTAATCTCATTCCAGTGCCGGTTGTATCTACGATCCTATTGACGTCTTGGCAAACCCTCCTGCTCACGAGTTCCTGGAACTCGGTACCCCTATTCCAGGTTGCGAGATGCGTATCGTTAACCCTGAAGACGGTGTTACCCTTCGCCCCGATGGTGAAACTGGTGAACTCCAAGTCCGTGGCCCCATGGTTTTCGTCCGCTATTACAACAACACGGAGGCAACCTCCTCCAGCTTTGTTGAAGGTGGCTGGTACCGCACAGGCGATGTTGGCATCATCGAGAACGGTAAGATGCGTCTTAGTGGTCGTATCAAGGACACTGTCATCGTCCACGGTGTTTCATACGGTATCCCTGAACTTGAGACCCACCTCCAGACAGTTGAGGGTGTTACACACTCTTTCCTCGCTGCTGCGCCATACCGTGCTCCTGGTCAGGAAACAGAAGGCTTCGTTGTTTTCTACTCCCCCACATTTAGCCTGGATGAGGAGGATGCCCCCGCTAAACTTTACGCAACACACCGTGCTCTTCGTGACGTCTCCGTTAAGATGATTACGCTGCCCCCACAACAAATTATCCCGATCCCCGTCAACCAGATGGAGAAGACCACCCTTGGCAAGCTCTCGAAAGCACGCCTTATTAAGCAGTTCAAAGAGGGCCAGCTCGTTCAACATGTTGCCCGTGCAGAAGAGTTGCTTAGCATCGCTCGCGGCGCTAGCTTTGTTGCCCCTTCCACTGAAACAGAGAAGACTTTGGCTCGTATCTACGCCGATATTTTCAACAACAACGTCAGTGACGTCTCTGCCAGTGACAACTTCTTCGAGTTGGGCGGTACCTCGATTGATGTCATCAGGTATGATAACTACTTGCTCTGGGCTAGGGGCAGATACTAATTCGGGCGCCAGGCTCAAGCGTGAAGGAGAGGCTGCTTTTGGCCTTCCCGAAATCCCAACTATTCAGATCCTCAAGCACCCCGTTCTCTCTAGTCTGGCCAGCTACGTCGATGCTCTGTCCTCCAAGGGAGGTTACCAAGAAGAGTACGACCCGATCGTACCCCTTCAGCTTACCGGCGACAGGACCCCCATCTTCATGGTCCACCCTGGTGTCGGTGAGGTTCTTATCTTTGTCAACCTTGCGAAGTACTTCCAAAACGAGCGGCCGTTCTACGCTCTGCGTGCGCGTGGTTTCGAGCCCGGCCACCCATTCTTCGGGTCCATGGATGAAATGGTCTCTTCCTATGCTGCAGCCGTCAAGCGCACCCAGCCCAAAGGTCCGTATGCTATCGCTGGATACTCATATGGTGGTGTTGTCGCCTTCGAAGTCGCGAAACGCTTGGAAGCGATGGGCGATGAAGTGAAATTCACCGGTCTGATCAACATTCCTCCCCACATCGCTGACCGCATGCACGAAATCGACTGGACGAGCGGTATGCTCAACCTGTCCTACTTCCTTGGCCTCATTACCAAGCAAGATGCCATTGACTTGACCAACCCGTTGAGACGGCTGTCTCGCATGGATCAGCTTGATTTGATCTGGAAGTTGTCACCGCCGGAACGTCTCGTTGAATTGCAACTGACTCCGCAGAAACTTGACCACTGGGTCGATATCGCCGGTTCCTTGATTGAGTGTGGCAAGGAATACAACCCTTCGGGATCAACCGGTGAGCAGACTTGTTGCATTTGTTCGTGCTTCATCATGGCTTACGCATTGTTGAATGATAGAATCGCTTGACGTCTTCTATGCCATTCCTCTCCGCGGAAGCAAAGCTGACTGGCTCAACAACCAGCTCAAGCCATGGGCAGGGTTCAGCCGTAGCGAGCCGACGTACACGGACGTCCCTGGACAACACTATACGCTCATGGATTTCGACCATGTGCCAGGGTTCCAGAAGATCTTCCGCTCACGCCTCGAGGCTCGTGGGATCTAAATGGTGTTATGTTTCCCGAGGGAATGGAGACTGTTGTACGAAGGGATTCATGGGGCTACTATATGATATATGATATACTATCATCTCTGGATTTCTTTTTCCTCATGTTGTTCATTGCATTAGACTATCTGTTTTGTATGCAAATTATACCACCATCGTTAGACTAGAGATATATGCCAGTATATGTGCTTCCACCTTTATTGCGCGGTTTTGAGTTGGATAATGCTTGCCACCTTGCCGAACTTGAGATCAGGAGCCCCTGAGTTCACTGAGATTCCAGTTGACCTTGGCGCTCCATTGGGCAGTTTGGGGAAGCCTGTCTTGGGGCGCAAGAGTCATTTACTGGCCTCCATAAATTCCCGTGTAGATATGTCTCGTTCGCCCTTGCTTCTCTCTCCTTAACGTCACCTCGCACTCCTCTGCGCCCCTAGCCTATTCCACAAGGTACCGGGTTACACCGACAGGGTACTAACTTGTGGTGAGTAGCACACAATACCATGATCATGGCGAAGCTGAAAGTGAACACAGAATTTAGTCTGCTGGGCATCGCTCGTTCGAGAAAGCTCGTCGGTTGTTAGTACCGTTTCTTCCGAGTCTCATCTATCCACCTACACTGCTCGTACAGGCTCTCATCGTAAAAATTGTAAGTCGTCTCACTCCTTTCAGTTACGCGGATCACCAAATCGCTGACACAATTCAATCCTGCTAGCTTTGGCTGCAGCACGGACGTATCATGGACGAACTCGCTCAGGCCCGTGCTGAGTTAGCACGACTGCAATCTACCGAGCGGATGCTTTTCAAAGACCCCCTAGCTGTCCGCGTGGCTGTTGAGACCCAGAGTCGTAAAATCAGCGAACTGGCTAATACTCAACCCTCTCAGATCAAACGTCTTCCTGTCGAGCTCCTCACAAGGACATTCAGCTTCCTGCTGGCACGCGGCCGCGAAGACCCATATATATTCTTTCACTGCTTGCCCTTGTGGAGGAATGATTTAGCTGGGGTTTCGAGACTCTGGAGAGATTTAATCCTCGATACTCCCAGTTTCTGGAGTGATATCGGATTGATCTATGAATCCAACTCGAAGTCATTGATGACGCAGCTGAAGAGGAGCCGTGAATATCCTCTTGATATCACGATTCTAGACCCACGTGATTTCACTCTGGACGCATTATTGAACGTTCTCATCCCCAGCGCAAATCGTTGGCGTAGCCTGCACGTCGGATGTCTTGATCCGAGCGACCTGGACACTATCATGAACAAGTTCTGTCGTCTGGAATTTCCATGCCTCGAAGATGTTTCTGTGGGAGATCATCAACGGTGTGTCTCACTCGCACGCGTCCCTGCTGTCAGGGGTCGGGATACAAGACAGGTGGATGTGTTCAAGCGTATCGCGGCACTTAGTCCCACTCTGACGACGCTCCGCCTGTCGATCAAGGGCGAAGGAAATATTCATGATCAGTCATTCTTCAAACGTATCCCCACCCAATCGTTAACTATGCTCACATTCACTTGCCGCGACCGTTGGGTTCTCAAGCCAAACAGTCTCCACTTCCCGCTTCTCGAAAGGCTCGTGATAGATACTTTGAATCCCCATGATTTCATGAATGCCATTGTAACGCCCAAGCTCCAGCATTTTGACTACTGTCACCCCCGTGGCTCTATCATTGGCCCATTCGGATTAAAATTTAGCCATGTCCCCTATCTTACTCTCAAGGTCACGGATAAGGACGATTTTTCTGACATGGAAAATTCCTCAGAAGCACACATGCTCTGCGAGGCTTTTCCTAGAGTGCGTCATGCAATCCTGCGTGCGAATGACATAGACCCCTTGTTCATCGCTATGTCTCCTTACGATAACCTGGGATCGCAAACCCCAGTAGACAGCTGGGAAAGCCTCGAACAATTGTCGATAATTATCCATCATAATGATAGGTATTGGGAAGTCGACACTCTTGCCGAATGGCTCACAAAGCGCCAGAAATTGGGGCGACCATCACTGCATGTGCAGTTGGTGGGTTTGCAAACTAATAGTTTGGAGATAAAACCATTTTCCCGCATTTACAAACGGCTGCGAAATTGCTGTACCTTGGATTTATTGGGCGTGCGGTTGCGCCAACGGCGGCACACAATCAACCACTCGTTTGATTCTTACTTTTCGTTGACCACAGATAGCGATTCCTTATATATAGTAAGTGGCTTGTTTGTTTTTTTTGGGTCAACCATGGGGATTAACGATTGCCAGAGGGTGGGTAACCATGCGGACAGGGTCGTTCTGAACAACTGGCGGGGGGTGTCGCTAGAAAATATGGATGTTTCCTGGCCCCCGAATGGACGACCATCTTTGTCGGAGTCTGACATGTTGTGCTCCAACCCCCAAGAACAAGCCTTCCTGGATGATGCTGATAGCGATTGCGATTCTGATTATTCCACCCAGATGTCCCTCCGCTCGTCCAGCAGAGAGCGCCACGAGCTCATATGCATCCGGAGACGTTTCGACTTCCATGCAATCCTCTTCCCCAGAACCGTCGCAAGCCCCCGATATAGACGTAGCCAGTGATCTCATGAAGCTGTTACTGATACTTGCATCTCCGTAGTTGAGCTAGCAACTCACAATTCGTCGTCACCTACCTGTGTGTACATTCGCTACGGCACATTATTCACAACCATAGAACGCAGATGTTCACGAGCAATAACAGCGTTCATCTAAAGATGGCCATACATCACCCGTGCTTTCGAGTGCCTTCCTTCATTCGGTCCAATCGCACGAACTTTGCGCGTACGACCACCTTGCTGAGAGGACCAAGCTGATGGAGATTCGGTACACAGTTTAGATAGCATTTGGGTTCGCCAAGGGTATGGAATCTCTCATACGCAAGATAGGAGACTGGATCTCGACTCTGCAAGTTCGTCGAAGAGATGGACAAGTCACAAGATGCCAGGCCTGGCACCGACATCGACATGCCAACAGAAGTGTTCCACGCCGCGTCCTTCGACAAGCTAAACTAGCACCCAAGAAACCGTCTGCGGCGGCCGGCGACGAATGCCGATCTCGCATTCGGAGCGCGATAGACATGCTGAAATCGTCGAGTTTGGTTTTATGTAATTTGTCCACCCCAGGGCTGTTGCCTACGTTCCCAGGTTCAGACACCCCCATCACTGGCTGCATTTTTGCAAGGTCCCGATACGATGGATCTTGGGGAGGGGGATGAGCAGACCGATGTGTTGAAATCGACGATCATTGGGTTAGCTCAATATAACTGCAGTTCCCATCTCCCACCCTACGCCTGCCGTGGAGGAAAAGGAGAGATATGAAAAGTGAATATCCTGCATCAAGCGATACCTCGCAACCATATAATGAAGAGGATGCGAAGGAGAGGGATATATGATGGGCATTAGGCGAGGTGAGTTGTCTTCTCTTACTGCAATCGGCGTATAACCCCGTTATAACCCGTCGATGGCGATGGGTGCAGAGTAGTTTCTTGAGGTCCACGAGAACAGGTCGATCAGGACAAAAGCAATTAATGATGTAAGGCGTATGTACTAATAGTATTGCCAGCCTAGAAGACTTGATCCCAGTAGGAAAATCCCTCACCCCGCAGCGGTGCAATTAGGGTTGAATGGGGCATTCCACACAAACACCATCCCTTCGTCGCCTCTCTTCAGGGCCTTTACACTGCTCATTCACCAACGTCGCAGGGAATTGCTCATTCGAAAAAGCTCGTCGTGTCGACTGCGACGTATTGTATCATCTAATTACTAACGCCCACACACCCTTTTACTACAGAAATTGTAAGATCTCTTCACTCCCTTCAGTTGTGTAGATCCCCGACGGAAACCATTGCTAGTCGTGACTGCAGCAGGGACGCATCATGGACGAATTTGCCTATGCCCGTGTTGAGTTGGCGTGGTTGCAGTCCACCGAGCGGATCCTCATCAAATCACTCCTCGCCGTTCGCATGGCTGTTGGGACCCGGTCATAAAATTCGTAAACTCTCGCCTGTCGAGCTCCTCACAAAGATATTCAGCTTCGTGTTGACACGCGGTGATGACCCTACCGATTCTTTGGCAGCTTGCCTATGCTGAAGAAGAATTTAGTTGGAGTTTTGAGGCTCTGGAGAGATCCAATCCTCGATGCCCCCAGCCTCCTGAGAAATATCGGAACCACTTGTGATTCCGACTCGAATTCCTTGATGCAGCTGAAGAAGAGCCGTTGATATCCTCCTGATATCGTGATTCTAAACTTGCCCGTCGACGGCAATCAAATAGACGCATTATTGGACATTCTTATTCCCAGCGCTAACCGTTGGCGTAGCTTGTACACCGGATATCTTGAAGCGAAAGTCCAGGGCAACATCCCAGACAAGTTCGACTGTTTGGAATTTCCGTGCCTTGAAGACGTTTACATGGATGGTTATCAACAGTTTCTCTCACTGGCACGCTTCCCTGCGCATAGGTGTCTGAATGTCGATGTGGTATACGTGTTCGAGGTATATTTTGGCACTCAGTACCACGCTGATGACACTCAGTCTGCTGATCGTGCAGGAAAGTCATATCCGCTGTGATGAGTCATTCTTCAAATATATCCCACCCAATCATTAACCATGGCCACATTCATTGCGATCAAGGTTGGGTGTTGGAACGAAACAGTTTCCTCTTCCCGCTCCTGCAGACCGTTGTGCTGGTCACCGTGAGTCCTTACGAGTTTATGGATGCCATTGTAAATCCGAGGCTCAAGCATTTTGACTACACTCACGTCCGCGGTGCTATCATTGGCCCATTTGGATAAAAATTTAGTCATGTCCCCTATCTTACTCTCCAGGCGGAAGCAAATGGCATATCATTTGCTATGGACGATCTCTCAGGAATACACATGCTCTGCGAGGCTTTGTCTGTGGTGCGTCATGCAAGCTTGCATGTGGGTGACATAGGCCCGTTGTTCACTGCTGCGTCACCTTCCGATAACCTAGGGCCACAAACCCCAGCAGACAGCTGGGAAAGCCTCGAACAATTGTCGTTAGTTAGCTGTGGTTAAGATAGGTATTGGCGAGTCCATACTCTTGCCAAATGGTTCACAAAGCGCCAGAAGTTGGGTCGACCATCATTGCACGTGCAGTTTGTGGGTTCGCAAACTGACGACTTGACTACGTAATATTTCCCCCATTCACAAGCAGCTGTGAACATGCTGTGTCTTGGATTTAGTGGGCGCTACAGTGCAGTGATGCCAGCGGTGTCCCTCATCCTGCACCTTGTTTCCAAGTTACTTTTGTCTGACCACGAATGACAGTTCCTTATATATAGTAAGTGGCTTTTTTGTTTTGCGGGTGAAACACGGGGATTAATGATCGTTAGAGGGTGGGTAATGAGAGATGGATATTTTCTGGCCCCCGAATAGAAGGTTGTCTTTGTCCGACATACTTCGCTCTGATCCTCGAGAGCTGGCCGTCCTGGATGATGCCGACAGCGATTGCGATTGCGATCATTTCGCCCAGATGTCCCCTACCCTGTCGCAAGCCGTCAATGTTGACGTAGTTGGTAATCTCGTGAAGATGTTACTGGCACTTACAGGTGGATAGTTGACCTATGTTGTAGTTTATCCCGTGCTGCAGACTGGATGGTAGGGTACACCGTGGTTGACCTCTACAGAATGTAGATGCCCAAGTGCAACAACAGGGCGCATCTGAAGATGGATAGCCATATTGATACGCCATATTGCAGTCAACAGGTCGGACACTTCGACATCGATTCCCTAGGCTATTCGTGACAGTCCATGAACCTTCAACATCAAACGTATTGCCTCTGCCATTTGTGACCAAAGCTTGCTCAGTGCTGCTAGAGTGGCCGTTATTCTGACTTCCACATTATGGTGTTGTACTCACATAGGTCTGCACCAGTAGTTACGTTTATGGGTTGCTGGACACAACTATTCAGTACTTCAGTTCCGGGTGTGAATCTACGTGCTATGGTTGTCTTTGCTGTGAAGCTGGCAGAGGATGCTGCGTGGTAGAAGTAACTCTCAGAATGATGCTTGAAGTGTCAAAACCTAGAGTGACTCTGACACTCCATATGGTCACCCTCGACAACAACGACGACCTATTAGTCAAAGTAAACTCTGATTGACTGGTAATAATCCAATCCACCCCGCCAGAGTCTAGGGACGATGACTAGCTCGTCGTCCTCTTGCTCGCCGTCGTCGTCGGCCGTGACGATCCCAATCCCGGGCAAATCCATCCTCAAACGACCGCCACCCACCCAGACAGGCATCCTCAACCGTATCAGAGGATTTTTGCCTACCCAACCGTCAACGTCGACGTCGGACGACCTCAAACCACTCAAACGAGCTCACTTCATCCTCCCACAGCTCGCTATCGTCTACCCGTTCTCATCTGTTAACCCACCTTCGACCCCAACACTCAAGGAAGAGAAGAAAGCTATTGAGGAACGCGAAGCTGAGCGCAGGAAACGTGTTCTGAGAGGAAACTCCTTAGGACCTAACGACACGGAAGAGTGGTGGTCTTTAGACAAGGTCGAGAGCTTTTACAGGGAGTGCTGTGAATCCAGAGAAGAGCACTCTGATCCAGCCATCTCAGCTGCATTCAAGGTGAGTCCATTCCATATCAACATGCTCCGGAAGTTGCTTGCTCAGGTCCAACGTGGCTCATAGCGTGCCTCCCCGGGGAATCCTCGTTCGGTCGATCTATCAGGTGTTCAGCTGACTCTGACAAGCGCTGCCATCCTTTCAGATGTGTTCAGTATAGAATGGGGTCTCAGAAAGTTGACTTTGAGGGAATGTGATCTTGATGAGGCTGTTGGTCAAAAGTGGTCCTTGACGTGTCCTTTGGCTGACTGCACTTGCATGTAGAAACTGAAACTTGTGCTGCACGCACTACTTATACCAGGAACATTGGTTTACTTATCGGTCGCATCCAACCGAGGGCTCAAGACACCAGCGTTCAAAGTCATCGGAGCTTATGCTTCCAAGGTAACAAATTACCACATTTCACTAGTCGTGCATCCTAACGATCTATTTGTTCCGACAGGCGAAAAGCTTACAATTCCTGGACTTATCACAGACAAACCTGGACAAGAAAGCAGTGGAATATATCACCGCTGGCTTATCCATAGCTCCCCAACCAGGCCTGGTTTCTTTGCGCCTCGATGACTGCTCTCTCCGCCCAAACGCCCTTGAGGCATTATGTACGTCTTTCCCCTTCCAGCAAATACAATAGCTTTAGCTTACACTTGAACGTCCGCGCGACGGCTTGAAATACAATTCCAGCCCGCGTCGTGCGCACTTCATCCCTCCGCAATATCTCCCTGCGCCATAACCGGATCTCAGCGACAGGTGCCGTCGCACTCGCACTGATGATACGTGACTACCCCGACGTCGCACCGGCGCCCTCTCCTCTTACATCACCATCACCATCCACCTCGTCTTTAGTCCTCCCGTCCGCGGCGCTGTCCCTGCTCTCACCACCGACATCGCCCCTACCCGGAACTGCGCCATTACCCCCACCATCCCGGTCCGGCCCTGTACTCCCTCCCCCTCGTCATCCAGGGTCCGCAAACCTCCAAACAACATACACGCCTTACATTCCCCGCTCGAAACGTGCTGCCCCGCAGGCTCAGGCACATTCTGCTGCAGATCCCCGTGTGAATGCTGTCCCATTGATCACAAGCAGTGCTGGGGGTGGGGTCACGACGCGTACGGAACCGCTTGCGAATGGACATGGACACGGACACGGGCCCGGCGGTAGTGGTACGCCTGGAAAACTCGACGATGGATTGTCTGCAGCATTGTTGGATAAGGTACGTGCGTTGGATGCGTTGCCTCGGTTAGGTGCGTTGAGGACGCTGGATTTGCGTGGTAATGATTTGCGGGTGAGTCCTGGTCTCAATTATGTTAGAAATTTGGTTCTTGTTGTGGGAGGTGAGGTGGCGTTAGCTGGACGGTGCGACTAAGTGGTATTTGGCAGAACGGAGTGACATACCTTGCTCAAGTCCTCAAGCGGAACCGCACGCTCAAGGTGCTCAATCTTGCCGAGAATAAGCTTGACATACAATGTTTGGTGGTTATCGCAGAAGCACTGGTGAGCAGGATTCGTATCATTTGTCGTTTATTTACAACCTGTACAGAAATACAACCAATGTCTGGAGACCCTGGATCTGAGTCGAAATCCCTGCGGTGGCCCAGGACTTGAAGGTGTAGGTTCATCTGCGTTTCTATACTGTCCCACTGTACTCCATTCCACCCAGATCCAATCCTTGCGCACTGCGTTCACACTCAATACCGCACTCAAACGTCTCTTCCTCTCCTCGACACAACTCACCTCGTCAGGTGCCATTGCATTGGCTGAGTTCCTTCCTGAGTCACGGTCGCTGTTACATCTCGACTTGACAGACAACAAGCTGGATCTTGCTGGTGTTATGGCGCTCAGTCGAGGTGTTCAAGGGAATTGGGTAATCCGATGCCTCGATTTGAATATACCACCAGACGACGAAGAGTTTGCGCGGTATGATGTGTTACGTTATATTTTGTTGAGCACCATGCTGATGATTGATTTGGTTTCCTGAATCCAGCATGTGTCGCGAGATCTTGAATACCTGTATACGCAACACGGAGGAAGCTGAGAAAGCCTCAAAAGCAGCGGCCGCACAAGCGAGCGGAAAAGACGCCGGGAAGGGCGTCTGGGGACTCATTGAGGAAAGCGAGCTTGCTCGCTCTATAAGGCGAGACGACGCAAAGGTGTCGTGTTCTGATATTGAGTGTACGCCATGGTATGCGAATCTCAGCGCAGAAACAGGGCGAAGCGAGTGTTGCTACGAGAGCGGAGGCATTTTTGGCCCAGATTGAGAAGGCAAGGCCGGGGGTGGGCGCGATGAAGGTGGGCGCCACAGCGTGGTTAGATGCTACTACTTCGCCTCCACCGCTGTCGCCGTCCTCACCGGATTGGCCTTCTCCTTCGTCAACATCACCAGCCAACGTATCGCTGCAAGAGCTTGAACGGAAAGCACGAGAGCTTGTTAAAGATCTTACTGTTCAGATTCAATCCACGGCAGACGCGAGCAAGCTGGAGCCTCTGTTATCATTATGCGACAGACTAAACGCTGTGGTATCTAATTTACCTACCCCCAGGCCAACACTTGGTCTCAAGACCCAAGGTCTCGATGTCGCAGAAGTAGCGAGCGAACATGTCTTGCACGCTAGTCCCGCACCGATGTCGGATGATGAGCCCGATGAGCCTCCGACGCCTCGTATCGACAAGGGGAAGGGGAGGGCAGAGCCCGAACCCGAGGAACACGAGAAAGTCCTCAGTCCGAGTTTTTTGATCAGTGAATCCGAGGACGAGGAAAGTGTCGAGGGTACAGAGGCTATCGCGGTGTCGCCTACAGATCGGTGCGTCCTATGTCATGATTAGGTGGCTTTTAACATTGTTGACCGCGCTTGGAAGATCTAAGAGTTGGGTCGAGGAAGAAGGCGAGATATTTAGAAAAGGAGCTGTTCTGTTGGGACCTGAGGAGATGGAAGGTGAATATGCTGGCGATGAACTTAGGCGAGAGGCAAGTTACCTTGGCATGTTTTTGCCTCCGATGCTGACTTATGATTCCAGCTTCTTGAAGCCATGGTGGAACGCCCTCCGCCTCGCAGTATCGTTGACGACTTTGGAATGGACCTCAGCCTCTCTCCTTTAGTCACTGAAGAGCCTCTACGCTCGCCTATTGCAGAAGAACCTCAACCACAAAAACTGCCTCCACGTCCATACTTATCGCGCAACCGATCGACGTCGTCGAATAGTAATCCTACACTGACTTCACCTACGTCTGAGACAAATATCCGTACGCCGACGTCGCCGGCAGGACCGTTGTCACCGGGAGGGAGGGGATCGAGTGTGGTGAGGATTGAAGGGTTGGAACATCAAGTGAGGGGTGCTGGATGATGAGGCCGACCGGTGAACGAAGGATTTGGAGGACGGTGATGCGTCTATGCACTGTGAGCCCCTATTCCAACCCATCACTTGGTTGAATCTGTTGCTTTCGGTTGCCGAGATCTCGGGTATGGTAAGGAATCTAGGAACAGGAGGAATTGTTTTAACACTACACGATCATTACTTGAGCTGCCTGACTCCGGGGCACAGCAAGATTAATATGAACTCCACTGTCTCGGTGCAACCAGACTTGAAATGCGGTATCATCTCATACATTTTGCCTTTATCTCTCCCCTACAGTCTCGCTGCCAAACTAACTTGAAAGCGGCAATGGTAACCAATGACGAACAGAGTATGTGACCACTTGTAATACTTGTGCTATGCAGCCGCCGGTTGCAGTAGGCATCTGGAACCCTTCCGTGCCTTGGTGCGGCCATCCCCATATGCTTTCCTTTCTTCTGTTCCTCTACAGCCTTCCCGCAACCCCAAATGTGTCCCGCGTGGAAAGGTCCAAAGATCGATCCCCCCGGGATGAGCTCTACGGCGTAAGTCCCTATTTGGAAGGCGTAGAACTCTATTCAACGGATTTCACGCGGATGTACCCGGCAACCTTCCGGTCGGGTGAGTGCTTTATCGCAGGTGGTGACCGCGCTGTCCTACCTTTCCACTTCTGAAGATAAATGCTACGATGACCCCCCTACGTTTTTTTTCCGACATTTGTACACCCCGCGGTACTCGGTGGTTAACAGCAGACATGTGTTAACTTTCGGGCCGCCCGACGACAAAAATACATATATCTTGATACGGTGACTCATCATCAGTAAGCGAATAGATGGTTTAAACCTGTCACTGACTGGTCGTGACCATGATTCCACCATTCCCTGTCCCCCTAATGATTGTGGGTCATAGCCCATTCACGGTCCCCGACCTGGTCATGTGGCACTCAGCAGAGCTTCTTTGGTTAAATGCACCCCCTTCCTCCTAGTAATTCCTTTTTCTGAAAAGGTAAAGGTTTGCGGTGGCTGGGTTATGGGAAAACCAATCAATCACATTGGATGCGTGAGGCCGATTTGGTCGATTTGCAGGTATTTAATCCGTTACAAAGACTGCCAGAGCAACAACTTCATTCGTATTCCCTCAGCCCTTACAGCGCGAGATGGACGCACCATCTACCCTCGTTCGCATGTACAATGCGTTTCAATTGCTCTTTCGATCCGCCTTTGTTATCGATGTAGCTGTCGGCCTGGCCACCTTATGGGCGTTACGTGTAGCCATCCAGGCGACTCAGAAGAAATCTAGAACGACGAAACTAAGCGGACCAAAGAGTACTAGTCTGTTATTCGAAGTGAGTAGAGAGTTGTTCGAATCGCCTGATATGGGCGCGATGTTCGAGGCATGGTCCAAGGAGTACGGTGTGGCATATGAAGTTCCCATGATGGCCGGACAAAAGCAGATCATGGTCTGCGACCCGAAAGCGGTGGCATATCTCTTTGCTAGAGATACTTGGTCATACGTGCGCACCCCGATCATTACCGCGGCCACGGGACGATGGGTACGTGGGATTTCAGTATTCGTGTTCTTCCATGATTCCCTGACCCTGGGATCTCTATGTAGGAAAGGGATTGCTTTGGACCGAGGGCGAGTCACACCGAAGGTATAGCACCCCCTGGTTTTTGTAATGCTGCATTCGTACCAACGCGGGGTTATCAGATAACGAAGACCCCTAGCCCCTTCGTTCAATTCCTCTGTCATTCAAAAGTTAAGCCTTCTTATCTATAAGAGCGTGCATAGGGTAAGCGACGCAATTTACGCTTATCTCAATCAAGTCCTTAGGGTTTTCTGACACGTGAAAGCAGCTTGGGAGGCAAATATTGATGCGAACGGAGGCGGAAGCGTTGTCCTAGATGTTCAGAAATGGTAAGTTATACGATACATTTGAAACCGTTCAAGTGTCTTGACTTCGCTACAGGATGGATTATTTATCGTACGTTCTGTTCCTCGCCCTGTAGCATTCTAGAAGCCATTTAATTATCTTCAGTCTCGATTCTGTGGGGTTTGCAGGTTTCTCCTACGACCTCGGCTCTCTCGATGGAAAACCAAACACCATGATTTCAGTTCTTGACGCTTTCGGAGCGCCGTCGGCCCCACACCGTTTTGGATAATGTTGTATCCCTGATTTCCTTCGTTTTTCCTATGGCTATGAATGTGCCAACCTGGCGGAACAAGACACTTGACAAGCTCCGCCGGCGAATGTTGGAGGTTTGTGACATATTGGTCGATAATGAAGGCGCGTCAAGTGAACAACATTCTGCGATCGGTTTGCTGCGTACGCTATCGTAGTCGGTATTTCTCTCTCCATAACTAATACATAACTAATATGTTGATCAGTTAGGGCAGAAGACGAAGATACTGGCAAACGTATCACTCGGGAGGAAGTCTTGGCACAGGCAAGAGAACTATGATTTGTTCTGATAGCATCAGCTTACTCAAAGCTGCTCCCCAACAGATCAGCACATTAATTCTTGCGTCCTATGAAATTACGGCAAGTACGCACTGTCCCAGTGTTGTTAGTTGTTCCTGTTATAACGGGATCATCATTTGTAATCACCTCCGCGAAGAACTTTTGTCTTTCGGTGGAGAACCCTCGTACAACCAATTCACCACTGGTCTCCCTTACCTCGATGTTATAGTGCAGGAGACTCTCCGCCTTTACCCAGCTGGCCAAGACTGGATACGTCAGGTACGCAGATACATTCCCCATTTTGCACTTGGCCTGATTTCCTTTCTCGTATAGGCAGATGAAGACGACGTGATCCCTTTGTCAGAACCCGTGCGAACCAAGTCCGGTGAAGTGGTCGACAGCATAGTTGTCGAACGCGGAACGGAGGTTGGCATATCTGTTTCCTGCATGAACCGCTCGGAGGCGATTTGGGGTCCAGACGCCAAAGTGTTCAGACCTGATCGGTGGTTGGAAGCGGGCGGCGTAACGAAGAAGGCTCAGGGGGTGAAGGGTTTCCGGCACTTGCTCATGTTTGGTGATGGTCCGAGGACTTGTCTTGGAAAATGGTTTGCTGTTGCTGAGATCAAGGTATGTGTTTATCTTGCGAGGTGTAGTGCTCACCAAATTCAATTTTACAGACGATGCTTACAGTGGTGGTCAAGAATTTCGTACTCGAGATGAGGGACGGGCCGGATACGAGAGTCGAGATAACCAGGGGAATTACTTTGAGGCCCAAGGTCGCAGGAGAAAGTGGTATCAAGGTGCCATTGAGAACTATGCCATACGAAGGCTGAAGATGTATGTTGCTTTATTCAACCGTATGGTATGAGCCTGATTCAGTCTCACTACTTAGCGGGGGTCGCTGACGGTCGTGTAAATGGATCACGCGTCCCGGTCTCTAATGGGTCAAATTGGTTTAGTGATTCATACAAACATCTATGTAACCTTTCTGTAAACACTGTGTCACTTTAATGGTTCTTCCATGTATGTCTACTTCAAAGGGCGAATTCGTGTCAAATATATGATGTTAGGCAACGGGAAGTTACATTTGGTTAGGTGGGCGTACAACAACACGGAAAGGACATTACTCTCCGTGTCATCTTCGCAGGATTCGGGAGGGTCTCGGGTTGCCATCTTTGGGCTGTGACTAGCGACCTGCATCCCTAGAGGTTATTCACGAGGGTAAAGGTGGAGTCGATTCCTTTCCCTCATCTTCCTCGTCCGGTGGTTTGCGTGACGGAATTTGGAACGAAGTGGAAGTGCAATTCTACACAACGTCTGCGTACTCGGGTTATAAACTCAACACCAAGGAAGTGGGATGCAGTCACGAGCATATATAGTATAAGCGTTGTCTGACTAAGTGCCTCATAGACTACACGAGTACCATTCAAAGGATATCTCAACGTTGCAATTCTTGTATAGTTGAAGATCTCTAGAAGCCTCCACAGCTTCTGGTAATTTGTGATTACAGCTCCACCTAGCGCTCAAATGTCTTGTCTCCCACTACTGACGTCGCACAAAAGTGTTCATTGGTACTGTGCGCGAAACTTCGAGAGCCCCTGGGAGAGGCTAACAAGTTGGTGAGCGATAGTAGTACTAGAGTGAGGGAGGCTTAGAACTTCCGCTAGAGGTCAAACTCTATCTACGCAAACTCGGCTGCCGTGGGGCTAGCTGAAACGAAGGGCGACGTGTTCTTCTATGTCCTGATGATGGATATTTCATCACTACTGTCCTTATACCTTGATATTCCTTGATTTTCCATTGGCCTTGCTTGGGTTCACCATTGTAATGGCTTTATATAAACATTGTAAAGCTATGTAACGCTATACCCATGTATACTGCTGGACTTGATGTTGCCTTGGTGTGCTACGCATACAGCGGCTCTTAAGGTTTGATGATGCACAGGATGCAATTAGCATACACGACAGAAATTGGAGATATGTAACACGAAAGTGCCCTGCCAGAGTGATTCGCATCACAGAGCTAATTCCTTCTACTTCCCAGACCGATATCCTTTAACAGCAATACCGGTTAACATAGGCAACAAAAAATCGAGAAGCTGCTGTGGTACCGGCAATGATTCTAGATACCGGGCCAATGACTACTCTTGACGAAGACCACGGACGTGAAACATGAAATACCAATGTTGCACCACGGTTGAACTTCATATGTGTTGTATTGTCGTCGAGTTGCTGCACTTGATGCGAAATCCGAGCTCACTGATCTGTGAGCATCACTGCCCGTTGTCCAAGTCCTTAATGTTTGGTGCATCGTCATGAAGATAGGCAAATATAGCGGCATGGAACGTGTCAAAGCCACTCTTCTACTGACCTTGGCTTCCGCAATCCAGAGGTTGAAGGTTGAACTATGTTCCATCGGGATGACCTAGTCGAAACACAGTTATCTTTGACGACCACTGATCGACAAAGATAAAAAGAATGGTTGGTAATTATTTCAAATATCAAGTTGCACGAGACTGAGAGGGATGCACAGAGCACCTCTGTAAACTGCCTTTCGTAGCAAGACAGAACCAAGGGCCTATGCTAGGGTTGAGTGAAGCCACATCTTCAGCCTCTGTATTGCCTAACCCTCAATGGTACCTTGATGCCAGCTTCTCCTGCAACCTTGGGCCTTAGTGTAAGCCTCCTGGTTATCTCGACTTTCGTGTCCGGCCCGTCCCTCATCTCGAGCACAAAGTTCCTGACCACCACGGAAAGTACCGTCTGCAACATCAAGTTTCCCTCGATGAGCATTGCACCTCTTTCCAGATAAGCACACACCTTGACTTCAGCAACGGCAAACAGTTTGCCAATACAGGACCTTGGACCATCACCGAACGAGAACAAATGCCGGTGTCCCTTCACCTCTTGAGCTTTCTTCGTTACACCGTCCGCTTCTATCCATCGATCAGGCCTGAACACTTTAGCGTCCGGACCCCAGATCGCCTCGGAGCGGTTCATATAGGAAGTGGATATAACAAACACCGTCCCGCGTTCGACGGCTATGCTGTCAATCACTTCACCGGATTTGGCTCGCACAGGCTCTGATAGAGGGATGATATCATCTTCATCTGCCTATACGAGAAATAAATCAAGTTAAGTGCTAAACGCGAGTTGGTACAAGTCTACGTACTTGGCGTATCAATTCTGGGACGGCTGGGTGAAGGCGGAGGGTCTCCTGCACTATGGCGTCGAGGTAGGGGAGACCAGTGGTAAGCTCATCGTATAAGGGTTCTCTGCCGAATGACGAAAGCTCCTCGCGAAGTTTAGTTTGAATATCCGGGTGCCGTGCGAGTTCCACCAACGCCCATGTCATGGTGGCTATAAGTGATGATCTCATTATACAGGACAAACTAGCACCATTGTGACAGTGCGCACTTGCCGTGGTTTCGTAGGACGCAAAAATTAACGTGCTCAGCTGTTGAGCAGCAGCTCGAGTAAGTCTGACGTCATCAGAAAAATGATCATTCTCTCACTTGCGCCAAGACTTCCTCTCGAACGATACGTTTTCCAGAATCTTCATCTTCTGCCTTCACTGATCGACATGCTGGTCAATGGGACACAACTATATGGTCATGGTGGCGTACGTAGTAAACCGATTGTAGAAACTTGTTCATTTGACGTGCTTCCCTTCTCCTTTGTGGCGTTATCTACCAGCATGTCACAAGTCTCTGACATTCGCTCCCGGAGCTTGTCAAGCATCTTATTCCGCCAGGTTGGCACATTCATCGCCATGGGAAAAATGAAGGAAAGCAAGGACACGACATTATCCAAAAAGGTGCGAGGTGAGTGCGCACCAAATGCGTCGAGGACCGAAATCGTGCTATTTGGTTTTCCATCAAGGGAACCGAAGTCGTAGGAGAAACCTGCAGAACCAAAAGAATCGAGGCTGAAAAGAATTACAAGGCTTCCAGAATGTTATAGCAAACGAACGCACGAGACATAGTTCATCCTGTGGCAAAGATAAGACATGTAAACAGACAGTGTATCCTAAATAGCGTACCATTTCGTAACATCAAGGACAACACTCTCGCCTCCATTCACATCAATGCTTGCTTGCCAAGCTGCCTTAAGCTGTCAGAAGCAGATGCTGAGAACTTGGTTGAGACAGGCATATTAACTGCATTTGCTTACTCTATCCACGGCTTGATGTATGGTGGGGCTTAGCTTTCGAATGGCAGTAGAATTGAAGGAAGGCGCTATGGATCTTCTCTGCCTGAAAGTTGAAAGTAATAATCCAGCATTGGGATATGGTGAAACGCTAAACCAGGGAGGACTATACCTTCTGTGTGACTCGCCTTCAGCCCAATTCAGTCCCTTTCCTACCTAAAGATCCCGGGATAAGGGAACCACGGAAGCATATAAATACTGAAATCGTACGTACCCTCCGTGCGATTACCGCTTTGAACCCTGGAATGCCCACGTACGACCATGTATCTCTAGCAAAGAGGTATGCTGCTGCTCTCGGGTCGCAGAGTATGACCCTCTTTTGCCCGCATATCATAGGAATTTCATATACCACACCGTACTCTTTGGACCATGCCTCGAACAGGGCTCCCGAATCAGGCGACTCGAACAACTCTTTACCCACTCCAAACAACAGACTAGTGCTCTTTGGTCCCCTTAGTTTTGTCGTTCTCGATTTCTTCCGAATGGTCCGGATTGCTACACGTAGTGCCCATACGGCGACCAGCCCAGTGGCTATGTCGATTAAGGAGGCAGAGCGAACGAGGTCTTGACACGTAACATAGCTGCGAACGAGGGTAGGCATTGGATCCATATCGGGCGTGAAGTAGGTTGAGGGATGCGAATGGAGTTCCTGCTCTAGTCATCGCAACGTGTTAAATACCTGCGGTATAATGACCCCTCTTTGGACCAACATGGTTGACGGCTGTGCCATTTATCCCCCCCCCCCCCCCCCACACACACACACACATGCCGGAGGCATTAGTCTTATCAGCATACAAATTATTAAGAAGCGAAGTCTGCGGCCAAAACAGATATAATCAGTCGAAACCACTGAGCGGACTACGGCACGCAGGGAGTTATCGTAACATTGAAGCCGTACCCTCTATCGACCAGTCACTGAGCGGAACAATGAGTTGGCAACATCTGTCAGTGTGGTCACCGCCTACGGTGAGACGCTCACCTGAATGGAGGGGTTTTCTCTTTCCTCGGATATACAATTGAAATTCCACATAGAATCTTACTCTGGTCACCTGACTAACGGAATCTGTTGTATAGAGTTCAGTGAGCTCCAAATGGACACTTGCGTTGTAGAGCTCAGTTAGGGTAGGTAGTGATCCTTCCCACAAATGGCAGAAAGAGACAACGATCTCTACCTGCGAGGTTGTAGGAGGACAAATAAGAACAACATAGGTCACTGCACTCCGCCCACAGAGTCAGTAAAGGGGTCAATGTCCTTGCTTCAACACAGGACTGGGCGGCTCAAGTCATCATCGAGTAGTGTTGGAAAAATGCCTCCTGCCATCTAGATCCTTGTCACACCCGACACCTCCACGCAACCAAAAGCAGCCGAATGAGGAGTCAGAGTAGAAACTCACAGGGTATCCTCGTCTTCTATAACCACCATCTTTCTCATCATCTGGCCCTCCAACAGATTTCCCAGTTCCGTGCCCACGGTTCCTCACCACACCCAATCCCCTTCCCTCCCATTCCCAACTGTCCTGTGGACAAAGGAAAACGTGGTTAACAATGTTGGGACCACCGAAACTAAGGGAATGAATGAACCGTGTCCATTTCTTCACCATGGCATGCTCACCAAACGTTCCCCGTGCAGCGCAGAGTGCTGGAGTATCTTTATTGCCACAATTAACTTGGAATTATCTTTTTTTAGAAAATCTCTCGAAGTCTCGCGTACAATGGCATCGAACACCCCGAGACGTTCGAAAGCCTCAACATTCACTTCGTCAACTTTCAAATCCACCGGAAACTGGTACCACCGGTATGCTGTTCAATTATAATGACCGGAACGCTCTGGTAAAGCTTTCAGTTCACCAGTGTCAATTTGTGAATGGAGTGGCAATAAGTACGACACAGCAGAATTGAAGGACTCGAATGTAAGTTGGGGCACATGATGGGGGATGCCCTGTCTCCTATAGATGGGACATTCTTCAGTACAATTCGTAGCCACGGACGTGTTTACGTTGTCGTCGAGGCGTGTTGTGTACGCCGAAAATCGACTATCAGAAGTTGGATGAGCGTTTTTCAGCGACCGGGGATGATGCGAGACGTGTGGATCGCATGAATAGAGGTGCTTGGACAGCGCATCCCGGGTGCCAAAGATGAGTACTTGAGCTTGCAAGCTACGTTTGGACATGGACACCTAGAACACCGGTAAGTAGCAACCCCATATCAAGTTATCGACAACACGAATCCCTGGACTTCAACAATCTGAGCCAGTTCTGGTTACATGCAGTGGGTTGAAGGAACGTCCACCGAGGCTTCAAACTCCGACGCCTTTCCAACACCGTTTGCTCACTAGCGTCACTACTATCCTCTACCACCTATGATTTACCCACAAGTCGGCACTTCTGGAAGGCTCGAAATTCACCATATACATAAGTTGCTTGGTGGGTCTTGGTTTATATGCTACACCTGCGCGTGCGAACTTCCACGAGCACAATTGTGAAAGTTCTGAATACCTCAACAAGTCGGCGGGTCGGCGGGTTCGTTGGCAAGTCACACTGCTTTGGCAGAGTTTCACAACAGGTGCAGGTTTCAGTGCGTTTCCTGTACTTCGAGTAGGCTGCCGAGCGGAAGGTGAATCCAGCAGGTGTGACCAACTGTGACCGCCGACTTGTGAGTGAATCACGGTTGGGGGGTAGGAATAGTAGTATTTGTGTGAGGGCTAAAATTACCGACGAATAATGTTCAAGCCTTGTCTGGACCCGCGGTATGGGTAGAAGGAAGGTGAGGTCCGCACGAATGCATGGATGCAAACAAAACTTGAAATATAGACAGCATCCGTACGCGAAGGCGATATTTTATTCCTGTTCGTGTACTTAGACCGTCACTACGTTTCAGACCGTCACGATACGCTTGCACGTACTTGAAATTGCCACCAGAGGTTCAACGTTCCGCCGACTTGATATCCTAACTCCTCCCAGATGACAACTTATATTCCGAGCATAGGATTGACATCTTGCTGCTTTAAAGTCTGTCCTAAACCTCCAAAATCTGCTGTGCGCAACGGGTTTTTGGGGATTTAAATCGACATTTAACGTGGTACTCAACTTGAAATATAATCAAATATGGCTCGAGCCAAGTTTTGTTTCATTTTACAGGTTACACTTCGTACTTCATTTCAAATTTTGTCCTACATATAAGCCTAGGAAAAATACCAATAATCTGTTGCGAAAGACGCTCATCAAGCAGCGAGGTCCGCCACGTTCTGTAACAGGGCTGAACCAAGCTTGTACGCTACTAGAGTCGAGTGAAGTTCCACCTTTAGCCCTTGTACGGCCTAACCCTCAGTGGCATCTTGATTCCATCTTCTCCTGCAATCTTGGGCCTCAGTGCGATTCCCCTGATTATTTCGAATTTTGTATCTGGCCCGTCCCTCATCTCCAGCACAAAGTTCTTGACTAACATTGTAAGCATCGTCTGTGAAATTGAGTTTGGTGAGTACTGCACCTCGCAGGATAAACACATACCTTGATCTCAGCAACAGCAAACATTTTTCCAATACAAGACCTCGGACCATCACCAAACGTGAGCAAATGCCGGTATCCCTTCACCTCCTGAGCTTTCTTTGTTATGCCGTCTGCTTCTAACCATCGTTCTGGTCTAAACACTTTAGCGTCTGGACCCCAGATCGCCTCGGAGCGGTTCATGCAGGAAATAGATATGCCAATCTCGGTGCCGCGTTCGATAGCTATACTGTCAACCACTTCACCAGACTTTGTCCGCACTGGCTCAGATAGAGGGATGACGTCGTCTTCATTTGCCTGTGCAGGGAATAAATCAAGATAAGCGCCAAACGTGAATTTGTACATATCTACGTACCTCGCGTACCAAGTCTTGGACAGCTGGGTGAAGGCGGAGGGTCTCCTGCACTATGGCGTCGAGGTAAGGGAGACCAGTGGTAAGCTCATCGTATGAGGGCTCTCTACCGAAAGACAAAAGTTCTTTGCGAAGTTTATTTTGAATATCTGGGTACCGAGCGAGTTCGAGCAACGCCCATGTCATGGCGACTAAAAGGGACGATCTCGTTATAACAGGACAAATTAACATCACATTCAACGATACTTACTTGCTGTAGTTTCATAGGATGCGAAAATTAACGTGCTTATCTGTGGAGGAGCAGTCTAAGTGAGTTGACGCCATCAGAATAAATCATAATTATCTCACCTGCGCCAAGACTTCCTCTCGAACGATACGTTTTCCAGAATCTTCATCTTCTGCATTCACTGATCGACACGTTAGTTAGAAGGACACAACTAAATGACCACGGTAGCGTACGCAGCAAACCGATCGTGGAAGTTTGTTCATTTGATGCGCCTTCCTTCTCCTTTATGGCGTTGTCGACCAACTTGTCACAAATCTCAGACATTCGCCCCCGGAGCTTGTCAAGCATCTTGTTCCGCCAGGTCGGCACGTACATAGCAATAGGAAAAACGATGGAAAGCAGGAACACGGCATTATCCAAAAGCGGATGGGGTGACGGCGCTGCGAAATCGTCGAGGACCGAAATCATGCTGTTTGGTTTTCCAGCAAGAGAATCGAAGTCGTAGGAGAAACCTGCAATCCCGAAAGAATCGAGGCTGGCAAAAATTACAACGCATCCAGACATTATGGCAAACGAACGTACGAGACATAGTTCACCCTGTGGTAGAGTTAAGACACTTAAACAGTCAGTGAATTTATATAACGTACCATTTCTCGACATCGAGGACTACACTCTCGCCTCCGTTCGCATCGATGCTTTCTTCCAAAGCTGCTTTGAGCTGTCGAAAAAAAGCGCTGAAAGCTTGATCGGGATAAGTGTAGCGACTGCATTTGCTTACCCTATCCACAACTTTATGGATGGCAGGGCTTAACTTCCGGATGGCAGTAGAATTGAACGAAGGTGCTATGGATCTTCTTTGCCTGAAAGTACGGTCATTCATTGGGACGTGACGAAGTGTTAAACCAGGGAGGACTATACCTTCTGTGTGACTCGCCTTCAGCCCAAATCAGCCCCTTTCCTACCTGGAGATCCCGGAGTGAGGGAGTAATGGCAGCATATAAACACTGAAATCGTACGTACCCTCCGTGCGATGCTCGCTTTAACGCCCGGAATGCCCGCGTACGACCATGTATCCTTAGAGAAGAGGTATGCCAGCGCTTTCGGGTCGCAAAGCACGATCCTCTGTTTCCCGCACATCATAGGGATTTCATAGGCAACACCGTACTCCTTGGACCATGCCTCGAAGATCGCCCCCGAATCAGGCGATCCAAACAGCTCCGTACTCACTCCAAACAACAGATTAGTCCTCTTGGGACCCCTTAGTTTTGTTGTTCTGGAGTTCTTCTGAGTGGCCCAAATTGCCGTACATAATGCCCATATGGTCGCCAGCCCGGTGGCCACGTCGATTAAAGAAGTACAGCGAACGAGGTGATAGAACGCAGCACAGCTGCGAACAAGCATAGAGATTGGGTCCATGTCGACTGCCATAAAGTCTGGTATGGTCGAAGTACGCAATTGAGGTTTTTGCTCCAGTCTTCACAAGGTATTAAATACCCGCGGCTTCATGACCCCGCTTTGGACCAACATGGTTGATGGGCTGTTCCGTTTATCCGCCACCGCCACCACACCTCGGGCATGAGCTCTATTAGGCACGGTCACTGAGTGTAATAATGAGTTAGCAACATCTGTCAGCGTGGTCACCTATGACAAGGCGTTCACTCGAACGGAGCGACGATCTCCTTCCTCTGTTGGATAACCCAATCAGAGTAGAAGACCTTCCAACAAATGGCAGAAATCGACAGAACACGTTGGAAACACAGGGCTTGCGGGGATTCTGCGCTGGACCTATCGGGCTCAAGTAATAATCGAGGGGTTGTTAAATTAATTCCCCTTGCTTCTTAGGTTCTTTACCATCTCGAGCAAGCATGAGCAATAGGTTCAGCCAAGTGAGGTGTCAGAGTAGACGCTCACAGTGCGTCTTCGTCATCTATAACCTCCTTCCTGCTCATGATCCAGTACTGGTTTCCCTTTGGCTCTTCGCCGCGCCCGATCCCCTTCCTCCCGATCACGACGGTCCTGTGGGAAAAAGGAGAGCTGATTATAGATTATAGTATGAGGGCCATCAGGACTATGGGAATAGGTCATGAGCATTTCTTCGCCGTGGCGTGCTCACCAAGGGCTGCCTGTGCGGCGCAGAGTGCTGCGGTATCTTTTATCCATACAATAGACTTGTACCGGTCTTTATAGGCACGCACTGTCGTGCGCCGATTGGCTTGATGGCCCTAACTAAGCTTCCATGCAGTATACGGATCATACATGCATCTTCTGCCGAATGGAAAATATCCCAATAAGTGATATAAGTTCGCATAAGAGAATGTGAATGGGTAACACAGGCAAGTTACAGCACCGACGAAAAAAATGAAACCAAGCGTTTCAGTCACCAGACGATAGGTCGATAGTGCTCCAATGGATCCCCGGATGACTAACCGTGTGAGTCTGATGCACCACTGCATCAGCCCACGTTGTCTCTGCCTTCAGGTTCTTCGTCAACCGCCGTTGCTGGTCGACGAAGACAAGGTAGAAGCGCTTGCGAGGGCGGTAGGGGCTCGAGTGGGAGGGAGACATGTCGAATTCGGAGCGGATGGGTCACGACTGCCGATGTGGATAACCACATTGGTGAGACGATATCTAAATTCGACCCTTGTAGTTGGGGTGTCAATGATTATTTGGCGGCGCCTGCCCAGGTGCCACGAGGATGCAGTGAAGGGAATGCAGGGGGGTTGCTTGGGCCAGAAGGTTGTGACTGGGCGGCCGTTGGACCTGTGAGTGCTGCTCGAAACGAAGCTAGGCTGGTATGTCCATGAGGGATGGACGACGTTGCCTGTCGCGACAATTCATTTCTGTGACGTGGCACCCGACATCACCGACTCTCGTTCCCGTTCCCTATCTTTCATCGCAGATTCGATAGGTAATTTTCTTTTCATCGGTTACAACCCCGAATTCTTGCTCCAGTCCTGGTGTTCAAATGTGTGATGCTTACATAATGACTTCGCTCTGGAACACGGTCGATTGCAGTTCCGTTCATCTGAATGCCTCCAACCAATCAAGTCGTGTGCTTGTCATCGATTAGTCAATGGTTGGTAGTACCACGCTGTCGATCGGGATCATTAATCTCATTATACCCCCGTCACACATGTAATACTGTCTGTCGAGGCGTTCCTCTAGACTACGATGATATCCGTTTCTTCGAGAGGCGGCTTCTACAACATTCCGTCAAGACCAGGTGATTACCAACGTCGTTACCTCCGCTTTCGAGGACGTTTGTGGTCCCAAACTCTGGCTAATGTAATGGTGGCTCCAACAAACGCTGTTTGTGGTAATGTGGAGCTCAACGGGCGACAAAAATTTTCCTACCAGGGGCTGGTGAGTGTTGACAATCGAAGTACATTTTCATATTCCAGTCACTCCAAACTATCTTGGAACGTGCGCGGTCATTTCAAACACTCCCTTCTTCCGGTAAACCCACCAGCAACTTCTTCCTAAGAAGACCCTTCAGCGCATCTCCATCGTCCAAATGCGAGAGTAGCGAACCTTGCTGGAGTATTCTCACCACAGAGTTGATTTCTTCTGCTTCCTAGGTAACCAATATCCTTAAACAGCAAATCTGAACCGCACCGATGCCGATGGATGATCGAGAAACCGGCATATTGGCAATGATTACTGATGCCGGGCCAACGAGCGTTTGACGGAAACCAGGAATATGAAGCACCGACCTTGCGACCATATCATATTGGATTGCTGTTGAGTGGGTTGCTGTACTTCGGTATGAAATCCGAACTGACTCATCATCATCTGTCAGCATAGTCATGGCCATGGTCCTTATCGCCTCGGTGCATCTCTATGAATGTAAGCAAATAGCAACCTGGAACGTGTCTAAATCACTCTTGCACTGATCTCGGCTTTCGCGGTCGAGGAACTCCCTTGCCGAAGCATGGTTGACGTTACTGATCTATTTAGGTAAAAGGAATGGCTGGCAATTTTCTCAAACCTCCGGTTCTGCGAGCCCGAGAGGATCCATAGAAACAGTGCTATTGTGAGGTGTCGTTGTACCTCATAAATATCTCTGACTCATTTTAACCCCTAACTGTGGGCCAGAGACAGACCTGTGAAAGGCGGCCATCAAACAGCGAGTTCTATTTCTTATCAGGATTGAACAAACGCGCACACTAGGGTTGAGTCAAGTCACATTTTCAGCCTCTGTATTGTCTAATCCTCAATGGTACCTTGGTGCTATCTTCTCCTGCAACCTTGGGCCTCAACGTAATCCCCCTGATTATCTCGACTTTTCGTATCTGGCCCGTCCCTCATATCAAATACGAAGTTCTTAATCACCACCGAAAGTACTGTCTGTAACGTCGAAATTTCCTCGATGAGCATCACATCTCTCGCAAGATAAACGCCTACCTTAATTTCGGCAATAGCAAACAATTTCCCAATGCAGGCCCTCGGTCCATCACCAAATGAGAGCAAGTGCCGGTGTCCCTTTACCTCTTGAGCCTTCTTCGTTACGCCGTCTGCTTCCAACCATCGTTCAGGTCGAAACACTTTAGCGTCTGGACCCCAGATCGCCTCGGAGCGGTTCATGCCGGAAATAGATATGCCGATCTCCGTCCCGCGTTCGATAGTTATGCTGTCAACTACTTCACCGGACTTTGTTCGCACAGGCTCTGATAGGGGGATGACATCATCTTCATCTGCCTATAGGGGAAAGAAATCAAGTTAAGTGCCAAACGTGAATTTCCAAGTATCCACGTACTCGGCGTATCAATTCTTGGGGGGCTGGGCGAAGGCGGAGAATCTCCTGCACTACGGCATTGAGGTAAGGGAGATCAGTGTTGAACTGATCGTATGAGGGTTCTCCGCCGAAAGTCAAAAGTTCTGTGCGGAGTTTAGTTTGAATATCTGGATGCCGTGCGAGTTCGACCAATGCCCATGTCATACTGCCTACAAATGACGATCTTGTTATAACGGGACAAATTAACATCACGTTTACGATGCGTACTTGATGTGGTCTCATACGACGCGATAAATAATACACGCATCTGTTGAAGAGCAGCTCGAGTGAATTGGTGCTGCCAGGATAAGTCACAATTCTCTCACCTGCGCCAAGACTTCCTCTCGAGTGACACGTCGGCCAGAATCTTCATCCTCTGCCTTCACTGGTCGACAGGTCAGTAGGGGGGACACAAATACAAGACCACAGGAGCGTACGCAGCAATCCGACTGTGGAAAGTTGTTCATTTGACGTGTCTTCCTTCTCAGTAGTGGTGTTATTGACCAATATGCCACAAATCTCTGACAATCGAAGACGGAGGTTGTCAAGTATCTTGTTCTGCTTGGTTGGCACACGCATAGCAATAGGGAAAAAGTTAGAAAGCAGGAACACGATCCTATCCAATACGCTCTGGGCTGAGGGCGCTGCGAAAGCGTCGAGGACTGAAATCATAGCGTTTGGTTTCCCATCGAGAGAGCCAAAGTCGTAGGAGAAGCCTGCAGTCCCAAAGGAATCACGACTGAAATGAATTATAAGGCCTCCAGTCATCAGGAAATTAACACTTTACTATTTTTGACTTTTTTGTGACTATTGTGAACTATTTGTGACTTTTTGGGAAGGAACCTACTATCTGTACTTTTTTTTTGACCATATACAGCATTTTGAAGAATGAAAAGAGAACAGAATCTATTGAGACAACTAAGTGATGATATATCTAAGCCAAGAAGACTAGAAAATGTCTGAAAATTCAGAGATATTGAACCATTGGTGTGATGCACACTGTCTGAGAGAAAAATCACAATATCTCTTTGGAACCTCCATCAATTTGAATGTATGTGGTATCTACTGAAAGCTATGAATGAGGTGGTTTGAACAAGACCAAAATCAGCAAGAAAAGTGCAGCCATGCCTGCAGGACATGAGTAATGATAGTAGATTCCTTCCCAAAAAGTCACATTAGTCACAAAAAGTCAAAAATAGTAATGTGGCCCTGAGTTGCATGGTTATGCAGCGAGCATGCCAACTCAGTCTATGGTACCTGCAAACTACAGTGTCCAGCCAAGGTTCCAACCCCCTCAATCCTTAACATGCCCAACACCATACCCATTGGAAGCCATCCAAAATGTACCAGCATTTACTGCTCTATGCTCTGTTGAGGTGGAGCATGGACAATTCATGCAGGGGGGTGTGATCTGAGTATGTATAGTATCACTTTTTTCTTTCAACTTATATACTGACTATCTCTCAGGCAGCAAGTGATGTCAAGATCACAGGCCCACCTCATGAATGTGCACCACAGGGCACAAATTTGCCACCCACTGAGCTTCCCACAGCTGAGGTTGTCACCCATGTTGGTACAACATTGCCCACACAATCAGCCATCAATGCCACTGTACAATGTGGGACACTACCTCCAGGTAGTGTGCAATTAGGGGGAAAGCTATAGGGTAATCCCTAGGCTCAACCCAAGGGGTGTTGAGTAGGAAGGAGACATAGAATTCAATGGTAGAGTCAATCAGGAAGTTGAATGTAGGGCACAGAATTTAATTCCACAGTGTTGTAGATGATTTGGGTTCAAATAGACTTGGATCTTGGCACAAGGAAGTAATTCCAAGTGACAATTGAGACACTAAGGTGAGACACAGATATGTGGGGGACACGAAAGACCCAGTAGACACAGATTGACACTAGAAATGCAGATGACACAGTAGACACAGAGGATGCAGCAGACACTTTGAATACTTAGACACATGAATGACTTGGATAGTGACTCCAAAAGATGGGTGGTATTTTTCTGTTGCTGAGGCAGAATTATATAGTACATGGAGAGTAAGGTACTGATCAGGATAATGTGGGGCAGGTGAAGTAAAAATTCCAAAAAATAAAGGGAGATGTGACAGATGTCAATGCATAGTGTAGATGCCGGTTACCTCCAGTAGCAAATGTCCATCCGAGCGACAAGCCTGAAGCACTGCCACCCTGCCTTTCTGCATCAGACGAACACCCCCCAACAGACCGTCACTGCTCCCACTCCAGCTCCTCGCCCAATTGTCATTCCTTTCGATTCACTCGTCGTTCCTTTTATTCCTACAATAACCCAATGCATCAACACCTAGGCCTCCAACTAAACCCTTCGAGCAGTGCACCATCTTCTACTACAGTGTCCGGAACTGATGCAGTAGCGCCCCATCAGACCCTTCAGCCATCGCAGCCAGGGCACCCGCAGACCAGACAAACCACCAGGAATCAGTCCCAAGCACCACCCCCTCCACCGCTCATCCAACAACCAACCCAATCTGAGTCATCAGACTCAGTGACAACTCAGCCCCACGCAGTGCAGGCTGCACAGCCACAAATCCAGCTGACCACACCAGTGCAGTCAACCAGCCAAGCCAATATCCCCAACCCACTGGCTGATCACATGACAACAAACCTGGACCCCCCAACACCAGCAACATACGAAGCCATTATAGCAGCCTTAATGGATCAGCTCAACAACCAACGTGACCAGGAGCAGCCCACTCCCCCAGGCAACCATAACGCTGGAACTCAGACACCATTAGTGGCCAATGCAATGACCCTAGAGCGAATTTGCGAAGCCGCCACCTCCCACAAGGAGGATGCCAAATGAATTGTCCTCCCACCAATTTGACCAGGCCTCAAAGTCAGCCCTTTAAGCCTTCGTAAGTCTTGACCTTGTTCCCATGCTATTCGTAAACAATGGATTGGTTATCACCTTCATGCCACCACACCGTTTAACCGTCACTGTACACTGTAACCATTTTCTGCTCACCGTAATACTGTTTCCACTGTACTGCCACTTTGCTACACTGCCACGACCTTGCCCATTGTTACCTCTGAACCTACCGAGCACAGTCTGACTGGCGCTCCACAGCAATCTCGTCTAGAGTTGAAGAAGCATTCAAAATGTACCGTTATGTACCATACTCCCTCTTAACCCTTTCGGCCCATGCCAAAGTGAACATGAAAGGCAAGGACGCAGCTTATATCCTCACACCGGAGGGCTTTGTGACAAAGTCACTCAATCGGGCAAATGAACTGTCCATATCTGCTGCAGATTGGATAAACGCTGCACGCACTGCAGAAGAGCATACTCGCTTCCACCATGGGGAAGAACGTGCCAATGCCCTGGCATCCCACCACCAAGTGGTCACTGGTATCAGTGCATCACACAGCTGGCTAGTGGCCATGCACTATGATATACAACAGCGTGAGATTGCACATGCAAACCCAGAGCATGACCTCATGGGCCTTGACATGGCGGCCTTAACCATTGCAAACAACCATGCACTCCTCACTGCGCAGAGCTTGACTATAGCCACCACCACCAAGTGCACAGCACCGAATGACCTTCCTTCCTTCCCCCGTAAAAGGCCAGTGCATCCCAACAACAATCATGGTTGTTGCTTTCACTGCGGCCACTCAGGGCACTTACCATCCAGCTGCACAGCCTCATCCACTGCAGCAGGCAAACCAGTTGCACCCCTCGCATCAAATGGAAAGAGCAAACATACCCTTATTGCGCCTGATGGCCATCACTTCTGCTTCAACTGGGCTGCACACTCCTCCTGCTCATTTGGCCCTGAATGTCGAAATGTGCACAGCTGTTCAGTCTGTGGCGAGTCATCCCATGGAGCTGCATCCTGCTGCCCCAGAATCTGATCCATGCTGCATCACAACTCCTCTGATACCTGACTGCATTGAGAATTTACTATGTAAATACGATATCCTAAGTGATTGGTCCCATATCCTTTCTGGCCTATGGACAGGCTTTGATGTTGGTATTCATGAACCCCCTGCACATACCCATATATTTTGACAACCACAGCTCAGCATTATCCCACCCCACTATAATCGAAGCATACATTACTTCAGAGCAGAGAGCTGGCTGCTACTCACGAGGCTTCTTGCCCCTTGAGCTCGAAGCTCTAATTGGCCCTTTTCACACCTCACCTCTAGGCGTAGTGCCAAAGCTGAACTCAGACAAATTCCTGCATAATCCAGGACCTGTCATTTCCCAGAGACGATCCATCGATGTCATCCACCAGTTCTGGTATCAATGCAAACCTTTTTCCAATGGCTTGGGGAACCTTCGAAGAGACAGCTGCATTGGTCCTTTCTCTACCACCAGGCTCCTTAGCAGCCACCTTCGACATAGAATCAGCTTACCGCATTGTCCCGGTCTGCCCATCACAACAAGCAGCTCTGTGCATAGCATGGCAAGGTCTCGTGTATGTAGACAGAGCGCTAATGTTCGGCCTATCATCCAGTGCCGGAGTATTTGGCTTGGTTGCGGACATGCTAGTTGCAATCTGCAACTGAAGCTGGCTTTCGCCTAATAAAAAAATGGGTCGACTGATTTCATAGTTTTCCGCATACCAGACCAGACCTGGACAGAACGTGACTTCATAAACCTAACATCAGCTGCCAGCGTGCCATGGAGCGAACGAAAGACTCACCCACTAGCCTCATGCCAGCGGTATATTGGTTTCGACTGGGATCTCGAAACAAAGACTGTAGCTCTACCATCAGAAAAATGGACACGTCTCATCCAACTACTGGAGAGCTGGCTAGCCCCAGGCTCTCGGCACACTCAGAAAGAGACCGAGAGCCTCCACAGAAAACTTGTCCATGCATCCTGCATCTTCCCACTAATCCGCCCTTTCCTGCGTTCACTATCCATCTTCGCAACATCCTTCCGCTCACAGCGTGCTTGACAAGCATCTCCACACTATGTGTGGAGCGATCTACCATGGATACATACCTTATTAACCCGATTAAAGAGTGAGATATCACTGAGTCATACAGACCCAATAGACATCGACTGGTGGGGCAACGCAAGCTCCTCCTTTGGAATTGGAATTACAATAGGATCCTACTGGGCCATATGGAAATGGAAGCCAGGATTCCAGGTCGGTCCGGACCAGGCCTTCAACATAGGATGGGCTGAAGCAGTCTCCGTAGAGCTATGCCTTTTAATGGCTATACACATTGGCCTACCTGCACTTTCACATCACTGCAATATACTAGTTCACTCTGACAACTTAGGAGTAGTGATGGTTACCAACAAGGGACGCTCCCGCAGCCATCAGATCAACGAAGTCCTCTGCCACTTGTACCTTCTCCAAGCCAACTTAGACGTAGCAGTGCAGGCAATCCATGTTCCCAGTCAGGACAACATTGCTGATGCATTATCCCATGGTGACATCAAGGGTTTCCTCACTGGCTTCCCAGCAGCCTCAACCCAAGTCTATCCCCCAATCCCCCCCTACCTAGCCAACATGTTAGAATATTTATAGGAATGATGCTATCTCCTACCACAAACACCTCTGCACTGCAGCTAAATCCATCCCCACTTCATCTGGAATGTAGAGCTGCAGAACGACTATTCCTGTGGAGAGGCATCAACACTCCCCCCTCTGCCACCATAGCCAATCCAATAATCCAGCAAATAGCAGCCACTGCATCCCGTGCCTCCCTATGTGATGCTGCAGCATATGGATCAGGCATCTGCAAATTCCACATTTTCT